ATACAAAATTAACACCCAGAAATTGATGGTATTTTTATACACCAATAACTAACCCTCAGAAAGGGAAGCTAAAAAAAATGCTTTTTACCATTGTAAAAAAAAATTTACTTATTTATATATATATATATATATATATATATATATATATATATATATATGCAAATTAGGCCCAGATGCCCTAAGGGGTCACGACCAGACAGGAGAAGGTTGCAGGTTCAGGTGAGGCCTGAAGCGGAGATGGAGACAGAGACAGGGGATGTGCCAACCCCCGGACCTGGAGCGGACAGGAACAGGGGCAGGGGGCCGGCCGGCAGCCAGAGAGGAGAGGGCAGGCCCGCCTCCCATGGAAGCAGCGCAGCTCCCTCCTGGCTCCTTTGGAAGCAGCACGGCTCCCGGCAGCGTGCTGAGGTTCCCGCCGGCTCCCATGGAAGCGGTGGATGGCCTGTGCTCGCACTATATCTCGCAATGGGCTACTAGTAATTTTAATAAGATACCTGGGAATAAACTTAATCAAGGAGGTAAAAGACCTATATTTGGAAAACTACAGGACCTTGAAAAAATAAATACAGGAAGATACAAACGGAAGAATATACTGTGTTCATGAGTTGGAAGAATTAACATCATTAAAATGTCCAAACTACTCAAATCTATAGCAATCTATAGGTTCAACACAATCCTTATGAACATACCAATAGCATATTTCACAAATCTACAACAAATACTTCAAAAATTTATATGGAACCAAAAAGACTCCAAATAGCCACCACAATCTTGAGAAAGAACAACAAAGTAAGAGGGATCAAAATATGGGATATAAAATTGTGCTACAAAGCCATTGTAATCAAAACAGCCTGGTATTGGCACAAGAACAGGCATATAGACCAATGGAATGGACCAGAAACCCCAGAAACAGACCCAAGCCATTGAGTATAATGGCCGTATGCTCAATATTTGATAAAGGAGGCAAGAGCATACAATGGAGTAAAGACAGTCTCTTTAATAAATGGTGTTAGGAAAATTGGACAGGTACATGCAAAAAAAAAAAAAAAAAAAAAACCACACACAAAAAAAACCCCACAAAGAAACACCATACACAAGAATAAACTCAAAATGGATAAAAGACTTTAATGTAAGTCCTGAAACCATAAAAATTTCAGAAGAAACCATAGGCAGCAAAATCTCAGACATCTCTTGTAGCAATATGTTTGCCAGTACATCTCCGAGGGCAAGGGAAACAAAGGAGAAAATAAATAGGACTACATCAAACTAAAAAGCTTCTTCACAGCTTTTGCATATGAATGCCCTGGCCCTTTGCAATCTGAAAATCACCTAACAAACTGCAGCTGGGCCAGACAGACCCAGAACTTCCAAGAGAAGGCCCAAGGCCCCGCAGCAGCTTGCATTGCTTCACAGCTGGGCCTCATCTGGGCACCTCCAAACCCCAAAAAAGGAAGGGGAATCTGCAGATCTCCTCGTAGCTCCTGCTGGGTAGCCTCAGGCAGAGGCTAAATTAGCACCTCCTTAAATCCAAGAGCCAGTGTACCCAGTGGTCAGAGTGGGACCATCCAGATTACAACTCCTCAGATCCATAAGGGACACACTCAGGGGGCCGACTCAGTGAGCACCAAAGCCCCACTGAAGCAAGTCTTGCCCTGGAAGGGTGTCTTCAGCACAGAAGTTCTCCCACTTCAGACAGAGCTGATTCTCACAGCCAATTGGCCTGGAGGCCAATTCCTCCCAGTGATACCTACAACAATCAAGGCTTAACTACAACAAGACTGTGCACAAAGCCCACAAAGGGGTGCACCAAGAGTGTCCACCTCAGGTAATTGGGGAGGCTGAGCCACTGGGCCCTATAGGACACCTAGCACACAAAGCCACTCTACCAACACAGGGAAGCATAAAAAATGCGGAGACAAAGAAACAAGTCACAAATGACAGAAATGGAGGAAAGCAAACTACTGGATATAGAGTTCAAAACCACTGTTATAAGGTTTTTCAAGAATTTTCTGGAAATCGCTGATAAATTTAGTGAGACCCTGGAGGATATGAAAAAAGACCAACTAGAAATTAAGCATACACTGACTGAAATAAAGAATAATATACAGAGATCCAACAGCAGACAAGAGGATCCCAAGAATCAAGTCAAAGATTTGAAATACGAAGAGACAAAAAATACCCAACTGGAAAAGAAAAAAGAATCCAAAAATATGAAGATAGTGTAAGGAGCCTCTGAGACAACTTCAAGCGTACCAACATCTGAATTATAGGGGTGCCAGAAGAAGAGAGAAAGCAAGATATTGAAAACCTATTTGAAGAAATAATGACAGAAAACTTCCCCTGCCTGGTCAAAGAAATAGACTTACAAGTCCAGGAAGCACAGAGAACCCCAAACAAAAGGAATCCAAAGAGGACCACACCAAGACACATCATAATTAAGATGCCAAGAGCAAAAGACAAAGAGAGAATCTTAAAAGCAGCAAGAGAAAGACAGTCAGTTACCTACAAGGGAGTACCCATATGACTGTCAGCTAATTTCTCAACAGAAACTATGCAGGCCAGAAGGCAGTGGCAAGAAATATTCAAAGTGATGAATAGCAAGAACCTACAACCAAGATTACTTTATCCAGCAAAGCTATCATTCAGAATTGAAGGTCAGATAAAGAGCTTCATAGATAAGAAAAAGCTAAAGGAGTTCATCACCACCAAACCAGCATTATATGAAATGCTGAAAGGTATTCTTTAAGAAGAGGAAGAAGAAAAAGGTAAAGATAAAAATTATGAACAGCAAATACATATCTATCAACAAGTGAATCTAAAATTCAAGTGAATAAAATATCTGATGAACAGAGTAAACTGGTGAATATAATAGAACCAGGGGCATGGAAAGGGAGTGGACTGACAATTCTTGGGGGGAAAAGGGTGTGGGGGTGCAGGAAGAGACTAGACAAAAATCGTACACCTATGGATGAGGACAGTGGGAGGGGTAAGGACAAAGGGTGGGGTGGGAACTGGGTGGAGGAGAGCTATGGGGGGGAAAAAAGAGGAACAACTGTAATAATCTGAACAATAAAGATTTAATTTTAAAAAAGCAACAAAAAAATGCCATTGATTTCCAGGTGTTAATTTTCTATCCTGCTACTTTGCGAATTTAATTATTATATATAGCAGGGTTGGTTTTTTTTTTTGTTGTTTTTTTTTGGAGTCTTTAGGGTTTTCTATGTACAATATCATATCATTTGTGAATAATTACAGTTTTACTTCCTCCATTCCAATTTGGATGCCTTTTATTTTTTCTTCATGTCTGATCTCTGTGGCTAGGACTTCCAGTGGAAAGAGTGGTGAAAGCTAACATCCTTGTCTTGTTTCTGACCTTAAGGAAAATGCTTTTAGTGTTCTCCCATTGAGTATGATGTTGGCTGTAGGTGTGTCATATAGACCATGCACTGTTTTTGGTTAAAAAGTTTTCAATTTCAGACCATCCTATGTGGCTCTTTTAGGTGTCTGAGTTTGTAAGGCCACCACCCACGCCTCCCCTGAGCTTGTCAGGTTTAGTATGTGGCCCCCTTTTGTCCACAGGTCTGTGCTGACTCTTGGCAGCATTGAGTTGCAGTACACTCACCTGTTGTTGGCCAGTTGGGGTGGAAACAACACTCGTCTTCTGCCCCAACTGCCACACCCAGGTCTGTTTAGCTTTCCTTCCTTCCAGCCTCCCCCACTCACTCATACCAAAACATTCCCCAAGGAGGGTAAATTACTTTGCCTTCAGTTTATCATAGGACAGATCTGCTGCTTTCAGCTGCTCTGCCAATACATTATCAGCTATGAATGTATGCATTCAATATGTAAAGAATCCCTTTGGGGGACAGGTAATGAGTTTTAGATATAATCGTAAATTTCAATTGTTCAGTTGTGTGAAAGTCACTAACAGATTATTGTAGTTAACAGTGTGAGATTACATTTCATATATAGTTAATGATTTGTGGGAGCCTGAGGAGGTTGCGAAATATATGCAATGTAATCTGATTTACTGGAGGGGGAATGGGGAGTTATGGTTTAATGTGTATAGAGTTTCAGGTTGGCAAAGATTTGAAGATGAAAAAGTTCTGGAGATGGATGGTGGTGATGGTTGCACAACAATGCAGATGTATTACTTAATGCCACTGAGCTGTACACTTAAAAGTGGTTAAAATGTGCCCGGACAGTGTGGCTCAGTGGTTGAGCATCGACCTATGAACTAGGATGTCAAGTTCAATTCCCAGTCACGTCACATGGTCGGGTTGCGGGCTGGACCCCACTGGGGTCATGCAGGAGGCAGCTGATCAATGATTCTCTCTCCTCATTGATATTTCCCTTTCTCTTCCTCTCTGAAATCAATAAAAAAATATATATCTTTAAAAGTGGTTAAAATGGTCAGTTTTATGTCATGTATGTTTTACTACAATAAAACATGATTGTTAAATTTCCAATTTTATTGAAAACTAAATTCAGTATTTTATTTATAACTATTTTCTTTTGATGAGGAGTTTTAAGGTTTGTCTCTTTTAGCAACTCCTAACCATACTGTTCATTACATCTACATTGTGGTGGGCAGTTAGACAGACATGAGCAGAGCAAAGACAACCACCATGTACAGAAGGTCACCAGGGTGGAAAGCCCCAGGTGCCCAGCAATGGGAAAAACTGGGAAAATCAGGACTTTGCCCTCAGGGTAGCCTTTCCTCCCCTGGCATGTTGCTAGTCATGTGGGTTAGACCCCCCGCCCCCACCTAGAGAGGGAATGAACAGGGGGGCCAGAGAATAGCGCTTAAGCAGTAAGCCCCCAGGACATTGAGGTTCTGACCCTCAGTAAATACATGTAGGCATCAGGTGTATTTCAGCTCCAGCATCATCCTTGCTCTGCTCATGTCTGTCTAACTGCCTACCACAGATCTAAATAGTGCCTGTCCCCATTTGCCACTGTGATGAAGTCCTTGGACATTTATGACATGTGTCTTTCAGAGGCTTTCTCAATGAAGTTTTCAAGAAAGGAGACCCGGATAGTTCCAGTTTCCGTCTCATGAGGGGAGAGATCACGTTTTCCCAGGTAAGGGACACCCTTGAGAAGACATTCAGTGCCTACGTGCCCATCTCCCACACTGACCATGCCCCTCTGAGGGCAGAGCCGTGTCTGCTTTACTCATGTACCCCTTATGCCTTTAACTCACAAGACGGGCTGGAAGCCCAAAGACACACAAAAGGGACATTTTAGACTGGGTTATTGTCTTTTGGGGCCAAGCAGAGAGACATACCTCAATGACTGGGGAATTTCCAAACTTTTCAAGGTCTGTGCCAGGGAGTTACAATAGCCAAAGTAGCTTTTTAAAAAAATTGTGGTAAAATGTACATACCATAAAATCTACCAACTTGATTATATTTAAGTATACAGTTCAGTGGTGTTAGTATATTCATATTGCATACCATCCATCTCCAGAACTCTTTCTCTTGCAAAATTGAAATTCTATACCCATTAAACAATAGCTTTCTTTTTCTCTCTCCTCACCCTGTAACTGCTATTGAACTTTCTCTTTTTATGTATTTAGCTACTGCAGGTGCCTTATGTTTGTGGAATCATGCAATATTTGTCTTTGTGTAACTGGTTTATTTCATTTAGCATAATGTCTTCAGGGTTCATCTGTGGTGTAGCAGGGGGCATGATGTGCTACCTCACAGGAGGGGATTATACTGTGATAAATGCTAATTAGGTTCCATTTGTATTTTAATATATATACCACATTTAGTTTACTCATTCATCCGTTGATGGACATTTGCGTTGTTTCCACCTTTGTGTTATTGTGAATAATGCTGCTATAAACATGGGTGTATTAATATATCTGTTTGAGACCTTAATGTCAATTTTCTCTGGGTATACATACAAAAATGAAACTGCTGGATCATATGAGAGTTCCATTTTTAGTATTTGAGGAATCACCATGCTGTTTTCCATAGCTGCTACACCGTTTTACCTTCTCCCCCAACAGTGAACAAAGGTTCCAATTTTTTCATGTCTTTGCCAACCCACATTATTTTCTGTTTATTTTTTATAGTGGTCATCATAGGAGTAGCTATTTTCAGATATTGCCACTGGGGAGGGTTGTTAACTAATAACTATATTATGTGTGGACTGTGGGGTCAGAGATCAGGATTTGAACCATAGTTCCCCCTTATAGACTGAGTGACCTCAGCAACTTGCTTAAACCTCTCACAGTCTCAGTTTTGCCACCTAAAAGATGTGATAATACTATCATTTTCACAGGTTGTTATTAAGCTTGAAAAGTGCTTAGCATAGTGCCTGGTGCAGAGTAAGTGCTCAAAAAATAATAGTTATTACTGTTATTACAACCTCAATTATTTTTTAACAATGTAATCAGGATTGAAAACCATTTGAATCTCTATTAGTGCCTCAAAGAAGAAAGGCTATTGAGAATCTACTCTATAAATACACAGATAAAACCATCTATATTTTAAAAAAAATTTATGTCTTACAGCCACTTATAAGTCAGAGGACTTGGGGCTTACTGTAATAGGAAGCAAGAGCCCACTTTTTCTGTGAAGGCAAATGTGGTCTTAGTGTGTGGAGTATAATGAATTGCACTTTAAAACTCTCTCTCTCTCTCTCTCTCTCTCTCTCTCTCTCTCTCACACACACACACACACACACACACACACACACACACACACACACAGATTGTGGCAACTAGTGAATGAAAACTGGAATGATATTATTGGGAATAAATGTTACTAAGCTTGAATCAATAAAAAAGCTGCAGTAATACTGTTGAAAAGTAAGGAAAGAAAGAAGTACTATATATTTTCAACAAACATAGAAATTATAGAGAGAATTCTAGTAATTGCAGTGAAAATCATACACCCATTTAGTCTTTTTTAGCTTGTGTGTAGTTTCTAGGAAACTTGAATAAGTTAGAGGAAGAGGTCTGAAAAACCAGTTATACTAAGATAAAGGCTACTTGGGTTCCATTTATCTTTTAAAAAGTCTGTAGGGCCCAGTGCACAGGTTTGTGCACTGGGCAGGGGTGGGGGCGAGGGGGCCCTCAGCCTGGCCTGCGCCCTCTTGCAATCCAGGACCGTCAGAGGATGTCCAAGTGCCAGTTTAGGCTGGATCCCCACAGGCTGGCCTAAACGGCAGTCAGATATCCCCCAAGGGGTGTAGCAGTCGCCAAGCGGCAGGCGGCCAGGGAGGAGCCCAAGCCGTCACTATGCTGCTTACACTCATCACAACCCCCTGCACCTGCCACCTGCCACTTGGTAGCACTGCCACAGAGTCAGGAGAGGCTCCCACTGCCGCAGCTACGCTGGCCAGCCATGAGCCCAGCTTCTGGCTGAGTGGTGCTCCCCATGTGGGAGCACACTGACCACCAGGAGGCAGCTCCTGCATTGAGCGTCTGCCCCCAGTGGTCAGTGTGCTTCATAGCGACTGGTCGACTAGTCGTTCTGGTCATTCAGTTGTAAAGGTTGCTTTGGCTTTTATATATATATATAGATACCTTAGGAATGTATCATCTTTTAATTTTTATGTATAATATTGTAGAAATAAAAAGTACAGAAAGTATATGGCTTGATGAGTTTTCACAAACGGAATATACCCTTGTCACCAGCACACAGGAAAGAAATAAAACATTAGCCCCAGGCTGGTGTGGCTCAGTTGGTTGAGTGTTGTCCCATGCAATGAGAGGTCAATAGTTCAACTCCTGGTCAGGGCACATGCCTGGGTTTGGGGCTTGATCCCCAGTAGGGGGCGTGCAAGAGGCAGCCGATCAATGTTTCTCTCTCTCTCACCAATGTTTCTCTCTCCCTCTCCCTTCCTCTCTCTCTAGAATCAATAAAAATGATTAAAAATAAATAAATAAAACATTATCAGCAGCATGGTTACCCCACTTAAGCCCCTTCTTCACACTAGCCCTCTAAGACTATCATCCTGACTCTAACCTTATAGATTACTTCTGCTTAGTTTGTACTTCATGTAAATGGAATCATGTAGACACACTCTTTTTTATCTGGCTCTTTTCCTTCAACATTATATTAATAAAAATTATAAATATGAAGTTGTAGATAGTTTTATTCTCTTTGCCATATGATATTCCATTGTATGAATATACTTCAATCTTTTTTTCCATTCTGTTTCTTTTTTCTTCTGCTTTTCCCCTGAGTGAGATGGAAAGGCATTGGGAGAATTTGACCAGCAAAGTGATGTTATCTGACATATATTTTTAAAACCCTCTCTGGCTATTATATGAATAGATCAAGAAGGCCAAGATTATTGTACAAAGACTACTTATGGAAGCTATTAGAAAATCCAGGAGAAAGATAATGGTGGCTTAAACTAAGGTAGTATTGGTAGAAGTGGTAAAAAATAGTCAAATTCTGGGACTATTTTGATGGTAGATTCAACAGGTTTTCCTGATGGATTGAATGAGAGGCATGAGAGAGAAGTTAAGGATGACTCAGGCTTCTGGCCAAAGCAAACTGGAAGTATGGTTTGCTCTTAAATGGAAGAGGGATGATGGCTGTGGGGGTGGGGAAATCAGGTACTCAATTTGGGATATTTTAATTTTAAATGTTCATTGATATCCAAATAGATGTGGAATAGGCAGCTGGATATACAAACTCAGAGTTCAAGGAAGAGGTCCAGGTTGAATAAATGTGTATATATATATTTACATCAGGTAGATGGTATTTTTCATACCATTGGACTTAATATGATCATGGAGAAAGAGAGCATAAATGGAAGGAGCCAGAGTCCTGGGTACTCTGATGTTAAAGGTCAGGTTGGTGAGAAGGACCCAGCAGTCAGAGATGGATAATGCATCTCCATTAAAGAAGAAAATCAAGAGAGTGTGGAGTCCTAAAAGCCAAGAGGTTATCAAGTTTTATTTGCTTTTTAAAATTTTTATTTGATTTGCAGAGAGCGAGGAAGGGAGGGAGAGCGGGAGAGAGAGAAACATCAATTTGTTGTGCCACTTATTTATACATTCATTGCTTGATTCTTGTATGTGCCCTGACCAGGAATTGAACCTACAACCTTGGCATATTAGGATGATGCTCTAACCAACTGACCCACCCAGCCATGGCAGGTTATCAAGTTTTAAATGAAGAGTGTTATCAACTGTGTCAAATGCAGCTAATAGGTCAAGTAAAATGAAAATATCTAACATTGAGTTCCCGTTAGATATAGCAACGCAACAAGGTCATTGGTAACCTTGATGAGACAAGTTTCTGGAATGTGGAGGTGAATGTTTGATTAGAGTATGTTCTAGAAAGAATGGGAGGAAAGGGTTGGAAGAATGGGAGGAAAGCTATGTATAGTATAGCTCTGGAGGCCAGTAGCCCAGATCAAGGTATCCACAGGGTTCGTTTCTTCTGAGGCCTCTCTCCTTGGCATTAGATGGCCATCTGTGCCCTGTGTCCTCACAGCCCGTCCTCTGTGTGTATCTGTTTTCTAAGGACACCAGTCAGATTGGATTAGGGTCAAACCATGCCCTCATTTTACCCTAATCACCTCTTTAAAGACCCTATTTCTAAGGACAGTCACATTCTGAGGTCCTGGGGATTACAACTTCAACAAGAATTTAAAGGGGAGGGGGCACAATTCAGCCCATAGAGGGGCATTTGAGTATTTTCCAGTGTGCTGCTCTTAGGAATAATGCTTCCACGAACATTTTTGTACATCTTTTAGTGAACACATGTAGACATTTCCATTTCCTGCAATGTATGTGTCCAGGAGTGAAGTTGCTGAATCACAAGGAATGCATATTCAGATTTAGTAAATGCTGTCAAAAGTGATTGTACCAACTGACACTCCCTGGACAATTTACTTTTACAGTGGGTGTCACTCCTGGAAGAAGACTATAAGAAACACGCCGAAGATTCTGGAATCAGCCTCCCTGAGAATTTCTCTGTTAGTCAGATTTTTGGCAAGGCCATTTCAGCAAGGAAGATCAGCCAACCCATGCTTCAGGCGGTTCTCGCTCTCAGAAAGAAGGGTAAGGATCTAATACTGGCCGTTTTCTGACCCAACCACACCAGAACCCTTGGTAGAGGGTACATCTAAATGTGTTTTGAGATCACAAATCATCTGGGCCTTGATGGAAAACTGTCCTTAAAACATAGTCCCAAAGTAAGTTATACCACATGGCAAAAAGCAGCACTATCAGAATGGCTGGGAAGATGAAAGAATTGAATTTAATAAAGCGACTGCCTTGTGAGCAAAATTCTCTCCTTCTGGTGACATTAGTAATGACCTGAATGACCCAACCTCTTATCACAGTGATGAGCTATGAGTTGGGTGATCTGGATTCAGATGGTGTCAAATGGTCTAAGACCGTGGTCAGCAAACTGCGGCTCGCGAGCCACATGCGGCTCTTTGGCCCCTTGAGTGTGGCTCTTCCTAAGCCTTAGGAGTACCCTAATTAAGTTAATAACAATGTACCTACCTATATAGTTTAAGTTTAAAAAATTTTGCTCTCAAAAGAAATTTCAATCATTGTACTGTTGATATTTGGCTCTGTTGACTAATGAGTTTGCCAACCACTGGTCTAAGACATGAGATCATGTTCATTCAATGGTGATTTATTTAATGTCAGAGCCCAAATCTTCATGAGCTTATTTGAAATCATTCCACCCACTTATCAGTAGACTTGCCTGACTATGGCTAAGCCACCCCATATTTCTCACTCATATCATGTGGGAAGTGTCACACCATCGACTCAGCTGTGTCTCGTCTCCAGTATCTTGGGGTTCTTGCTCCATCTGGTTAGGCAGAGAAAGCCCAGGGGCACTGCTGTCTCTGTTTGCATTTTGAAATAGGAATCAGTCTCTGAAAGCCAAAGCAGGTGTTTTGAAATGCAGTTGAGCAGATTTTGCATAACACAGACTGGAAGGTATACTGGAGGGACAGTCCGGAGGCAGATGCAGCATCTCCATCTGGGCTTCTGAAAGCCCTTAATATACACAATGGGTTCACTCTCGTGTCCCTGTGTCAGGAGGAGCTTAAGGGTGAAGATGATTCTTTCCCAGTGTCAGAAGATTGATGTAAGTGAGTAGAACCCTACTTGGCTCCAGGCAGAGCTTCTCGGGACAAAGTTCTATAGCTGGTCCATTCACTGGTGACTTCTTGCTCAGGGTTTACAACCTGCATCCTCACCAACAACTGGCTGGATGACAGCACCCAGAGGAGCAGCCTGGCCCAGCTGATGTGTGAACTGAGACCACACTTTGACTTCCTGATAGAGTCATGTCGGATTGGAATGGCCAAGCCTGATCCTCAGATCTACAAATTTATGTTGGACACCTTGAAGGCCAGCCCCAATGAGGTACATAGTAGATGCTTCCTTTCACTGGGAAAGAATGCTCTAGAGATATTGCCAAAAAGAAAAATGGAGGAGGAGTGAGCAGGCTGGGGTTATCTGGGGCCTGGCAGGAAGGTTGTAGGTCCAGTGGCAGGTTCCACTTCTCTCAGGCCAGGCCTTCTAAAGGACTTTTTACCCATCTTTTCTAGAAAGTTCTACCAAAGATAAGCATCTGACCCCTCTCTGTGGCTTTTATAGGACCTTGCTCAAAATAGGTATTATTGAAAACTTCTAGACCAGCTGCCTCAGTTTACCTGTAAAAACAGGTCAACCATGAGAGATTTTCCCAAAGCCACAGGCTAGTCAGGGTCACCCCACCAAAGGGTGAACAGGAATGGGCTCCAATATTGCAACAATCTTCCAAGCACCCCTGCACCCCTTAATCCTGACCTATTCTAAAATATTTTTTGCATTGTATTCCCCTACTCTAATTTTCAAAAAGGTGATTGGACCAAGATTAAATTCCTTTCCCTGACATTTCTGACTCTTTCTTATTGGCCCCACTTCACCCACACCTGATCCAATGAAACCCTGAGCTCCATCATTGGGAATTCTTATCAGGCTCAATGAAACCAGGAAGGTCTTTCTCTAAAACTTTGCTTCTGCTCTCCTCAGTCCCTGGGTTAAGCATTATAACAATGCTCTAAATTTTTGTATGCACATAAGTAAATGTATTTTCATTTAGGGCTTTGGGGCTGAAGGAGCTGCTTACAAGTCCAGGCTTGCTCTAATCCAAGATTATAAATAAATACACCCATGCTTTCTTCTACTGTCCTAAGAACCTCTTACTCCTTTATTTTTATTAAAATTTAAACCTTTAATCCATTCAAAATTTATTTTGAAGTAAGATATGGAGTATCCACTTTTCCCCTCAAACTGGTAAAATCCTATATAATAAAAGGCTAATATGCAAATTGACCAAACAGAGGAACGAACAGTTGTTATGACACGCACTGACCACCACAGGGCAGATGTTCAATGCAGGAGCTCCCCCACAGGGGAGCGCCGTTCAACCAGAAGCCGGGCTCACAGCTGGCGAGCACATCGGCGGTGGCAGGAGCCTCTCTTGCTGCTGCCTCTGCGGCAGCGCTAAGGACATCACCCGAGGGGTCCTGGACCATGAGAGGGTGCAGGCTGGGCTAAGGGACACCCCCCCACCCAGTGCACAAATGTTGTGCACCGGGCCTCTAGTAGCTAAATAATCTTTAAATAATCTTTTTCTTCATCGATTAGACATGACACTTTTATTAGAAGCTAAACTGTAATTTGTATTTGGGTCTATTCCTAGACTCTCTTCTATCTCATTGATTATTATTTTTTGGTTCATTTCTTTATTAGTACCAAACTTTACTTTTTAACCTTTTATAGCTTTGTTTACTTATCTGCATGTATTACAGTTCTTTTCCAGACATACTTTTTTGTCGATTCACATGTGTTGATCTTTCTAGATGAATTTTAATGTCATTTTGATAGTTTATATTCTTCCTTAATCTTCTCACAGCTTCAGAATTCAGGCTGAAATCAGTAGGTGTATGTGGGAACACATATATCTGTGTGTTTATGTGATTCTTCTGTAATTAAATGTTTTTAATTTTAAGAGTAAAGTTACATGGAGAGAAAAATCATTCTTTATCTCATTATTGTAAAACTAGTGACCTGTCGCTCGAAATTGCGCGAGACCCGGGACCCCTTCCCCCTGCACCATGGGACTGCCCAAGTCCCGGAGTCCCACCCCGCGTGGCTGGTGCACCGTGGGATGGCCCTGAGTCCTGGAGTGCTGCCCCAATGCCCTGCCTCTGGGTCGTGCGGAGCAGCTGCCGGCCCTGTCACCACTGTGCGCGCCACCATCTTGTGACGGTGTTATGGTGTGAGGGTCAATTTGCATATTGCTTCTTTATTATATAGGATAGTCACTATTTACAAATTAATGTATTTATTTCGGTGTTGTCTCTCATGCATGAAGTTCACTTTGCTTGAAGTGATGCTAGTGTCCATGCTATTTGGATTCAGGTTGTTTTCTTGGATGACATCGGGGCCAATCTGAAGCCAGCCCGTGATTTAGGAATGGTCACCATCCTCGTCCGCGACAGTGACATGGCCCTGCAAGAGCTGGAGAAAGTCACCGGGGTGCAGGTAACTGCATGTCTGTGCTGAGTGGGATATCCTGTTTCTTGTCTCTGTTTAGGTACATGAGACAAAACAAGTCAGAGCAGAACCACTGTGAAGGCAGTTCATTGCTCCAGGCATGGTTCCCAGGTAGCCCTCCTGGGTGGAAGTTCATTACCCATTGTGCAAGTACCATGGAGTCATTGAAGAACACCTTGTTACTTTCTCTGCAGTCAACGGACAGAGAAATGATGCTCTGAGAGCAAGAATCTGTGCTAGTCAGAGTCAGGGGAACCAAGACAAGAGTGGGGCTTTCAAAGCCACCTCATTTTACTCTTCAGAATGACTATTGAGAATCTAGCTGCTGGGTCTGCCCCAGTGGGCGTAGGGAACCCAGCCCTTACCTTGTGTGCCAGGTCATGCCGCTGGCACTCGGGTGTAGTTGCTTGGTTCCTCCTGGTTTATGCCTCATGCCAGTCTGAAGGAAGGCTTTTATGTAAAATCTGTCCCTCACACTGAGGACAGGGTGTCCTTAATCACCCCCTGGGGGCTGCCTGGCATTAGCCTGCTCTGCCAAAGCTGAGCAACCTTTTGCTCTTTTGAGCTTACCTAAGATCAGCCATTATGTAGGTTCCCCTATGTCCCGTGTGGTTCAGGGTTCAGGATCTGGAGGAGGGGCCGCACACAAATGAAAGAGATGAGAGAAGAGATAATTTTGGAAATATTGGGGGCCGTGCGGGCAAGCCCAACTCAAGGGGAAGGACTTCCACTGGTGCCCAGGCCTCGCCAGCCCTTTATTCAATATTGGATACACATCTAGCTCTTAGTCAGGCAGGTAATTGTGGTAGCAGACAGACTGTCTTAAAGGTCAGTAAATATTAGAAGGATTTACTCTGAGACTATTTGATCAAGAAATAACTTGAGCCCCCATTGTGTGGACTAGACAGTCGGTGTATAACTCCGGCCCTTGCCATGGGTTCAAGGTTCACCAGCGTTCCAGGATCCTTGTTTACACTTATCTGATAGTGAAGACAATGGGCGGCTTCCTTCAACCCATCCCACCAAGTCCAGGAGTGACAGTTACACAAACCTTTAGCATAATGCTGTTCTTTGCTCAGGGTTGTCAGTGTAATAGGAGAGGAGGGAGGAGGGAGCCTATGCACTTGATTGTGCTAAATGGATTTCAAAGACGTCACAACCATTTTCTTAAAGGGAATTGTGTCGTTTCCTAGGGTTACCACAAAGTAGCACAGACTGGGTCTGAAACAGTTTTGCTAGGAGGCTGCAAGTCCAAGATTGAGGTGTTGGCAGGTTGGTTTCTTCTGAGGCCTCTCTCCTGGGCTTGTGGATGGCTGCTCTCTTGCTGTGTCTTCACACGGTCTTCCCCTGTGTGTGTCCTAATCTCCTCTACTTTTAAGGACACCAGTTAAATGGGATTCTTACTCCCCTGGGTCCACCCCGGGACCTCATTTAACCTTAATCACCTCTTTAAAGACCTTATCTCCAAATACAGTCATATTCTGAGGCCCTGAGAGTTAGGATTCCAACAGAAGGAGACACAATTTAGCTCAGAACAATTGTCTTTTTGTCTTTAACAAATAAATAAAAATGTATATCTAATGACTTCATAACATTAAAGCATCTGGTACAAGTGTATTGAGTCATTCTACAAGCCTGGAAGTCTCACCCAGCAGAGCAGAAAGCGACCAGACTTGGGACCAGAGCATCCACCTGTTTGTCCCATTTACGAGGTTTGCCCCCACATCACATCTGAGCCACAGATTCCTGTTTTGTGAAATTGGGAAAGGAAGCCATGTCTCACCCATTTTCTCCTCAGGGGGGTGGGGAAGATACAAGGAAAAATGGAAATGAGTCCCTTTTGAACAGAGACATGCCTCTTATCTCTCAGGAAGGCTGTGGGACTCAGTCATGAACAGGCTTGTAAATTGTACAAACACATGGGAGAACCATTGGAGTAGGAACCCCCCACCCTTTCCACCGTGGAAGGGCATCACTGGTGAGTGACCTAGGAAGCTGGGAACACATCAAAAGAAGGTCCCCAAGGGACACTGGCCACAGTGGTCCATGTCTTGGCTCCTCTGGCCAGACAAGGCTCATTACCGTCAGAGGGCACCACACTGCCCACCCCCTGCCCCATCCGCACTGCCATACCCCAGGTCCTCTCTAGAGGTGGAGGGCTCACCCTGTGTCCCCCTCTGAGGACACCTATGCGGACTCTCCCATGTTTAAAAAGGAGGTGGATTCCACAATTTATTTCCCCCATTTTAGAGGTGAGAATCCTGCATGGCTGTGGAGTGCTTCTTCCTCAGGTTGCACCTTTGGGACTAAAGATGAGAAATTGAGCAGCAGAAGTCACTAACATGTTGCTCCATTCATGTCACGTGCTCATCCTGTCCTTTGTCATCTGTCTCCAGGAAACTGACACCAATAAGTTATAGAAGCCCCTTAAGGACACTTTGTTCAGGAATTTACCTGAATACTGTAAAACGATGGGTTATCGGAACCCCTAGGACTCCAGAGGACAGAAAGCAGCGTGCAGGCGAAGACTATCAGCTGAATTGTATCCATATGTTGAAACCCTAAGCCCCAGGACCTCAGAATGCGACTGTACTTATAGATGGAGCCTTTAAATGTGTTTATTTCCATTGGTTTTTTATTTTATAGAGAGAGGAAAGGAGGGGGAGAGAGAGAGACATCAATGTGAAAGAGAAATCTCGATCAGCTGCCTCCTGCATGCCCCACACTGGGGATCAAGTCCACAACCTGGGGATGTGTCTTGTGTGGGAATTGAACCGATGACCTTTTGGTGCATGGGATGACCCTCAACCAATGGAGCCACACCAGCCATAGATGGGGTCTTAAAAGAATGAATTAAGGTGAAATGAGGTCATTAGGGTGGACCCTAATCCAATATGGCTCTTATCCTTATAAGAAGAGGAAATTAGGACAGACACACACAGAGGGAAGGCCATGAGGACACAGCAAGCAGGTAGCCATCTACAAGCTAAGGAGAGAGGCCTCAGGAGGAACCAACCCTGCCAACACCTTGATTTAGGATTTCTAGCTTTGAAAATAGTGAGAAAATAAATTTCTGTTGATTCAGTCACCCAGTCTATGGTCCATTGTTATGGCAACCCTAGCAGACCAACGAAGGCACAGAGATTTTGGTTTTGGCTGAGTTGGAGGAGAAACCCTTCAACAGAGCCATAGAGCCATACCATGGTGGTACGGCGGGCTGTTCTGGGAACTCTGTGTTCCTGGCAGTATTCAACATGAGCCTGGGTGACCGCTTGAGGAACTGCCCTAGAGAAGAATTATACTAAAGCCCAACATCTCAGTGTTTTAGAGCAAGTGGTATTTATTTCTTGCTTATGTAAAAGCAGTTGATGGCAGCCAGAGGCTTGGCTCTGCCCAGCTATTCAAGGATCTGGCTGATGGAGGACCCACCATCTTCCACCTGTGGTTTCCGAGTTCACATCGGACACTCAACTGGGAAATCAGGAAAAGAGGACATAGAGGATCGGGTGGGGATTTTCATGGGCTAGGCCGACAGGCCATACTCTTCTGTCTGCATTTCATCGGTCAGAACTCAGCCAGGGGCCTCCACGGAACTGAAAGGAAGGAGAAGAAATGACGTCCAGTTGTGCTCTAATCAAGCAGAGGCAGTGAATCCTGGCTTTGGCATTTTCTCAGATGGCAAATTTAGGTACATTTCTTATTGCTCTGAATCTCAGTGTTCACAGCTTTATAATGAGATGGTGGTGCCGCAGGAGAGGAGGAGGGGTTGGTCAGTCCCTGATGGAGGCTGTGGGAGGTGAGCTCGCTGGAGTTTTGGAAACTCACTCTGAGAAGCCCTCATGGAAGGAAGCAGAAGACGCCTCTCTCACTGTACCTCTCACTGTGTACCTTCTACTTTCAGCTTCTCAAAACAGAAGTCGCAGCCCCTCTCCCAATCCCATGCCATCCAAATGACATGAGCCATGGGTATGTGCCAATCAAGGTAAGTGAGCACTCTCCCTCCGTCAGCTGAGTACTCTAACCGGGTCTCCTAAAATGACTCACAGAGGCATTTGTTCAATATCAAGGGTAGTTGAATAGCCATTGTTTATAGGGAAATCATATCTCCCACAAGCATAATTTCTCAAAAATCAATAGAAGACACGGACCATATGCAGGCAGCAGCCATAAATGCGGGCAGAGGGTTGCAGCTGACATGGTAAAGTGGGTATTACAGGATGAGTAGGAGTTGAGTGTAAGAAAGTAGTACTGGAAGCTACGGGTCAGAGTCAGTGTAGCCCCTCCTATGAGGCCCCTTCAGACCTCATCTCTACATTGATGAAGAGTGAGGGGCTCATTGCCTGGGTCTGGGGTCTGGGCTGTAACCTTGTGTCTTCAACCCCATGGACAAGCTTATTCTTGTCATCCTCTTGATGCATATCCCACCACTTGTGATAGATTCCTCATTTTGCCTTCAAGAAGGGTGTTCAGAACTGCTTTACTGCCCCTGCCACCACCCAGACTCAAGAGCTGGAGCAGTGACCTCTGGGGAGCCCCAGCTGAGCCCAGGCACAGAGGGTGCTGTTGTATGCATTTCCCTGGATGCTAATGCAACCCAAACTGGGTTGTAATAGATCTTTCCCGTTTTCCAGCTTTAAGGCAATTTTGTTAACATGTCATTTAAAGGATGGGAAAGCACTTTTGCTGAGCTACTCAGCTGAGTCAAACACAAAGCAGCAAAATGGTCTTTTAGTTAGGATCCATTTAGAACAGAGGCTGATGAGGATCATTTGAGTGGACATCAGCACTATAACATTTTTCAATATAAGGATTATGGAGTTTAAAGTTAAATTCCCTCCCTTTACCAAGTACTAAAGGGAAGACTGTGGAACGTATTCTTTTTTAAATTTTTATTTATTGACTAGAGGCCCGGTGCATGAATTCATGCACTGGTGGGGTCGGTCCAGCAGGCCCAGCCTGATGGAGGCCATCGGGGGGGTAGGCCGGCTGGGGTGAGGGGCTGTGGGCGATTTGCCTGCCGGCCCTGCCCCTGATCAGGGTGGGGGGTGCCCACTCTGGGGCGGGGCTGGCCAGGGCGAGGGGCTGCAGGTGTTCATTCTGCTTCAGTCAATTTGCATATTACCCTTTTATTATATAGGATTTGAGAGAGGGAGAGAGAGAAACATTGATTTGTTGTTCCACTTATTTATGCATTCATTGGTTAATTCTTATACATGCCCTGACCACAACCCACAACCTTGGTATATCCGGACAATGCTCTAACTAACTGAGCTACCCGGCTAGGGCAGTGGAACATATTCTTAATAAGATTGTAGTTCAGGAATGGGTTTGTGAAAAGTCAGCCTAATGTTTTCTTGAGCAAAATAGCTTGTTGGGAATCATGACCCAAACTTCCAGTTTGGAACACCGGCTTGGAGAAATCTGGGATGCAGCTAAATGGAATTGTCCTGAGTGAATTTCTATAATGTGAAGATTATTTTTCTCATTCATTTCCATTAATAAGTTGGAGATATGTACATTTGGGAAAGATAGGCTATATTTTGACTATATTTTTAATTGCTTTGGTTGGTTAGACCCCACTGTACTAGTCAGAGGAGGTGTAGCACTGTCCCAAACAACCCAGCTTTCAGTGGCTGAATACCAGGTCTGCTTCTTGTACAGCACAGTCCAGTGTGGGTGAGGAGTGGGCTCTCTCCATGAAGTCATTCAAGCACCCAGGCCCTTCCTTCTGCTGGTTCCACCTTCCTCAGGCCCAATCCATTCAGGTTCAGACAGAAAAAGAGAGGGAGGACCAAGCACGGGAGGGCCTGGATGTAGCACGTTTCTTTCGCTTATATGCCATTGGCCAGAACTCAGTCACATGGCCATACCCACTGCAAAGAAGTGGGGGGAGAGCTGGAAAATGCCACCATGTGCCAGGAGAAGAGAACACCAATATTGAGCCCTAGCAGACTCTGCCATATCCATGTAGCCCAGAAAGGACTAGAAGCTTGTAGCAAACTTGAAAAAAAAATTCATATTCAAGATACAAACAGCTTTTAACCAAATAATCCTGGGCAGCTCCTGCATTGAGCGTCTGCCCCGTCTGCACAAAAGTGATCCCCAGTTTTAAATATTGAAAACATGACAAACCACACCAGAAACTCCAACAGTATAAGGGCCTTTTAAGGAAGATGCAAAGTTGTTTTGGTTTGGGGTTTTTCTCCCCCAACATAATCTTCTTTGCAAGCTTCTTATATAAGTTACAGTGAAAGCCACCTGCTTTTATTGCAGTTTGGCGAGTTGTCCCTTTTCAGACAACTTTCAGCATTGGGGTCTTAGGCTGAGAAATCTTGTCCAAACAAGGTCTGGATATATGCTGAAGTGGCCTGGATGGTCTGCAGAAGAGGGGTCTGGTTCTGGCTGGCCTGGTGGTGTGGTGACTTCCTGCTCACCTCTCTCTTCCACAGCCCGGGGTGCATCTGCATTTCGTGGAGCTGGGCTCTGGCCCTGCTGTGTGTCTCTGCCATGGATTTCCTGAGAGCTGGTTCTCTTGGAGGTACCAGGTAAGGAAAACTGGGTAAAGGTACCCCAGTCAGGCGAGGCAAGGAGAAAGCCTAATGGTGTGCCCCAGCCCGAACGTCATTAAGAAGCGAAACCTTACAGTGGAGCATTGTTGCCAAAGTATGGCTGTGATACCGCAGAAATGTTGGGGCTGGAGATTGCTCCAGACCTCAGAGCTGTGTTAGTCCATATGCCACCTTTGCAGAGTAAAGAAGAAAAAGCAGACTTCTTCAAGACACTTTATGCCACCTCCCAGAAATCTTTGTAATGATTATAGAATATACAAGGTCTTTGTTAGGAAAGGTGCTCCCTTAGATGTGGCATTAGATGCAGTGCACAAACCCTACCACCAGTGGTCCATGGCAGCCCTATCCAGGTGGGCTCGTTCCAGCTCCATGAAATACCTGGTAATTTCAGGTGGCACTTTGGATTGAGCCATTTACAAGACCATGGGGATAGAGCAGCCGTGGGCAAACTACGGCCTGCGGGCCGGATCCGGCCCGTTTGAAATGAATAAAACTAAAAAAAAAAAAGACCGTACCCTTTTATGTAATGATGTTTACTTTGAATTTATATTAGTTCACACAAACACTCCATCCATGCTTTTGTTCCGGCCCTCCGGTCCAGTTTAAGAACCCATTGTGGCCCTCGAGTCAAAAGGTTTGCCCACCCCTGGGATAGAGGAAGCAAAGAGGGAGTGTCAGCCAGACACTATGAGACTACCCTGTATGTACCTGAGTTGTTTGTTTTCTAGATCCCAGCTCTGGCCCAGGCGGGTTTCCGGGTACTAGCGTTGGACATGAAAGGCTATGGAGACTCATCTGCTCCTGCCGGTGGGTAAATGTTGGTCATGCCTTCTGACTGTTCAGGCTCTCCACTGCACTGTCTTCCTCTGGTCCCAGGTCAGAGCCGGCAGTCCTTTAAGGGTGCCTGACCTTGTGCCTCCCCTCCTGCACTGTCCTCGGTCTATGCAGTTCGGGTCCCAGATGTCCCTGCTCCTCCTGCTTTGGATGAATATGAGAAGCCCAATAGCCTGTGTCCTGAGGGTGTCTCCTGCTGGTTGGTGGGGATGTAGAGTGTGCGATGGACCATCCAGCTCCAGAACATTTTCATCCTGCAGAACTGGGACTCTGTACCCATTAAATAATAACTCTTCATTCCTCCTTCCCCCAGTCCCTTGCAACGACTCTTTTGCTTTCTGTCTCTATGAAGTTGACTACACTAAGGACCTCATATAAGTGGACCAAACAGTATTTATCCTTTTGTGACTCGCTCATTTCACTTATGATAATGTCTTCAAGGTTCATTCATGTTGCATCACAATTTCCAATTTCCTTTTTAAGGCTGAATAATATTCCATTGAATGGATATACCACATTTGTTTATCTGTTCATCCATCAATGGACACTTGGGTTGCCTCCACTTTTGACTATTGTGAATAGGCTGCTTTGAACATGGGTGTGCAAATATCTGTTTGAGTCCCTTTTTTCAATTCTTTGGGTTATATATCCAGAAGTCAAATTGCTAAGTCATAGGTAATTTATAGGCCCCATTCTTAACCCAGCACTTAGGGATCCCAGTGGAAGTCTATCCAAGGATGGGTATCAGGGAGCCTGTGAGCCCCTGAGACCACATGTGGGTTTATGGGCATTTTTCATTGTTTTGATCAACTTCAGAGGGGTCTTCAGCCCAAAACTGTTTAAGAACCCTAGGTATGGAGGCAGGAATCTGAAACAGCCAGGTTTGCAGCAAAACTCCTGGTCCCAAGCATAATAATTTGGAATACAGGCACACCCAGTTCAAATGTTTTGTGTATAAATTTTATATAATTTGTTAATAGGTTTTAAGTAACAAATTATTTTCCCTAAAATTTTGAAGCCTTTGTCCCACTACTTTCTAGTTCCCCTGTTGCTATGGAGACATCCCATGCCATTCTGACCAATAAGCCTTTCTGTGTGACCATTTATTTTTTCTTCCTTACTCTTGACACTTTAGGATCTTTTCTTTATCTGTTTATTCTAAAATGGTCTGATATTGTGCTATGATATAGGTGTGTGTTTTTCATATACTTTGCTGGATACATTTATCTTTCAGTTCTTGGAAATTTTTTTGAATCATTTCTTTGGTAATTTTTCTTCCTTTTTCCTTTTCCTTTCTGGAATTGCTAATATTGTTAAAATACTTATACTACTCAAAACAATCTACAGATTCGATGCAATCTCTATCACAATCCCAATAGCATTTTTTACAGAAAAAGAAAACACAATTCTGTAATTCATGTGGCTCCACAAAAGACCAATAGTCAAATCAATCAGAGAGAACAAAACTGGAGGACTCACACATCCTGAGTTAAAAATATATTAAATCTACAGTAATCAAAACAGTAAGGTACTGGCATAAAGACAGATTCACAGACCAATGGGACAGAATATAGAGCCCAGAAATGAAGCCACCCATATACGGTCAACTGCTATTCAACAAGAGTGCCAAGAACACGCCAATAGGGAAAGGACAGCCTCCTCAACAAATAGCGTTGGGAAAATGGAATTCACATGTAAAATAATGAAGTTGGACCCTTATCTTACACCTTACCTTACAAAAAAAATCAACTCGCCTGGCCAGCGTTGCTCAGTAGTTGAGCATCGACCTGTGAACCAGTTCGATTTCAGTCGGGGCACATCCCAGTGTGGAGCGTACAAGAGGCAGCTGATCAATGATTCTCTCTCATCATTGATATTTCTATCTCTCTCCTTCTCCCTTCCTCTCTGAAATCAATAAAAATATATATTTTAAAAAATCAACTCAAAATGGAATAAAATTTAAATGTAAGACTTGAAACTAAACCTCCTAGCAGAAAACATAGGGGAAAAGCTTCTCGGTAATGATTTCATGGATGTGACACCAAAAGCACAGGCAACAAAAACAAAAGTAAGCAAGTAGACTGCTTCAATCTAAGAATTTAATAAGATAGATTTATTTATTTATTTACTTATTTATTTTTGGCAAATAGGCCCTTTTAGTTAGTTTGTTGGTACTTTTTAATCATGCTATATATATGTGTGTGTGTGTGTATATATATATATATATATACACACACACACACACATATATACACACACACACACACACATATATATTTTTTATTTTTTTTAAATTGCAGAAATAGAAGAATATTCCTTGGAAATGTTATGCAAGGTAAGAAGAGTCTTTGGATAACATATGTAATATCCCTTTTTCATCCTGGAACTTTTACTGTTATAAGACAGAAATGTGGGTACTCATTTAAATCCTAGGGAAACATCATTTCACAGAATTTAGGTGTAAATTCTTACTGAAAGTTGAGATAACATTTCAAAATGATAGCCAACGTTTGGTGTATGGAAGAGGAAACTGAGTCACAGGGAGGGAAGTCATTGCCTGAGGCCAACAGCCAGTAGAGCCAGGTTTGAACCCTATACAATAGCTCCCCCATCCCTCCTCTTAGCCACGCCACCAGATTGTCTTTCCATCCTGGGAATTTTAAAAACCACTATATTTTGGTAAAAGATATTGGTGGCCAGCCCTAAGGATTATTGTATGGATTGGTGACTGTAATGGCATTCCTATTCTAAGATGGCCAGAAGCACCATGGGGGAGGGGGACCCTCACCTCCGAGCTTGCAGGGGGAGGAAGGGGCAGACCTTCTTAGAACAAAAGCAAAGGCTGGAGGGGTCAAGGGGAAGAAACAGGAAACTGGCAATAATGCTGATTACACTCAAATTATAAAAAGCCACCATCTCAGAGTCACCACTCCTGTGGCGCTCCCCCCATTCAGCCCCTCATGCAGCCTTTGCATCTCATAAGGGAGCATGGGTAAAAGCTTAATTTCCAGCTAGGGTTGTTTTTCCTTCCTCAGTTTCTAAGCCTTTGCCTCCCCCACTCTGCCACTTCTGAGAGGATGCTGGAAAGGGAAGGGAGATAACTCAAAAGCCAGTGAAATGATTGAACATTGTGTTAGCTCACTCGGGCTGCCATAACAAAGTACTACAGGCTGAGTGGCTAAAGCAACAGCAGTTGCCATTCCAGAGGCTAGAAGTCTGAGGTCAAGGTGTCAGCATGGTTTATTTGAGGCTTCTAGATGAGGCTTGAAGATGGCCCTCTTCTCCCTGTGTCTTTACATGGTTTTTCCTCTGTGTGTATCTATGTCCAAATCTCCTCTTCTTTTTTTTAAATGTGTTTTTTAATTGATTTTTTTTGAGAGAAAGGAAGGGAGGAAGAGAGAGAGAAACATCAATGAGACACCTATTGGCTGCCTCCTACATACCCACTACTGGGGATCGAGCCTGCATCCCAGGCATGTGCCCTGATGGGGAATTGACCTGGTGATCTCTCAGTGAATGGGACAACCCTCCCACTGACGGAGCTAACTCTCCTCTTCTTATAAGGACACCAGTCATTGGATTAGGGCTCACCCTAATGACCTCATTTTAACTTTCATCACCTTTTTTAATGACCCCATCTTCAAATACAGTCACATTCGGAGGTACCAAGGGTTAGGGCTTCAACCTATGAATTTTAGGGAGATAAAATTCAGTCCAATACAAAGGCTGACACAGTAATTCTAATCTGGAAGTGGCTGAGATGGGTGGATACAATTTCTGATTTTGTGTTGTGTTTTCTTTCTTAGGACATGGTAACCTTCCTAGATAAGTTGGTAAGTAATAATTTTGAACTGATCTCTTTGGAGAATTCTGTTTGGGTCTGGGCAATTAATACAAGATGTAAGCCTTGCAAGGTGTTAGCTTTTGAAGCCCTCGAGCAGAGTGGCAGGGCTAGGAAAGGCACACTTTGGGACAGTGGGAGGCGGGTGGTTGACCAGAAGAAGTTACCAAGGCAGAGATGAGTTTATTCTGTTTTTTTTGGTTTCATGAAAAGCATCTACCAGGGAATAGGTTACCTCTGTTTGCTTGAGTCAAGAAGTTTGGAAAATATCCTATAGGCCAGCGGTTCTCAACCTGTGGGTCGCGACCCCTTTGGGAGTCGAACGACCCTTTCACAGGGGTCGCCTAAGACCATCAGAAAACACACATATAATTACATATTGTGTTTGTGATTAATCACTATGCTTTAATTATGTACAATTTGTAACAATGAAAATACATCCTGCATATCAAATATTTACATTACGATTCATAACAGTAGCAACATTACAGTTATGAAGTAGCCACGAAAATAATTTTATGGTTGGGGGTCACCACAACATGAGGAGCTGTATTAAAGGGTCACGGCGTTAGGAAGATTGAAAACCACTGATGTACCTGTATCTGCTCTCTGACCAAGGTCCATAGTTTATTGAGGTTGACAGTGGACAGAAGTTTTCATTCCCCTTGAAGTGGTAATGCCTCATACTAACCTTGCCAAGTTACCTGGGTGGCATTTGTCTAAGTTGATCCCGTGGTGACGCCTGCCACTAGCATAACCCTGGTTTCCAGGTGCCTCTGGGGCTTGCTTCTGTGGCCATCTCCATGGCTCACGTGGCCCTGCCATTTCTGGCCTCCCTCACCGTGATGGCATGTCAGGGACTGATATAAATGCGATGTTGCTGGTTTTAAAGTTTCAGCGTTGCCATGAGTGGGTGCTACAGCTAATAGAAACAAAGACAGCTGTGTCCACAGACATACAATTTGTGAACACTTGGTACGTGGTGCAGATTTGGAAGGTGGGCTGTGAATTTTGGCAATGACATTCATATTTGGAAATACTGCTTGAGGTCAACACCAGTCAAGCCATACCCCGTCGCCAGCTGAGCTGTGAACAGGCTTACCCATCTTCTGACATCTCGTCGATTACCACAGTGAACAGTGGAATTACCCATCACAATGCCACAATTAATGCTGCAACTACGATACTTTTTTTTAAAAAATTGAGGGTTCACTATGCCCTGGATGTGTTCACTATTTTAAGAAACTTTTTATTATTTTCTGCCACTCCTACTCCATTTATTCAATTCTTAATACCACTTACATCTTGATTTACTCATGTAATGAAGGTAATATTTTGAAAATGTTAAAGAGATGTTTTTTCTCCTTTTTCTGGAAAATCATGTTCTTCTGCTCAATTCCTAGAGTATGAGGGAAGAAAGATGCCACCATGGGAAAGAGAAGGGTGCAGAGTAGGGAATGTCACTGTGAGAGAGGAAGAGGTCTCTGAGGGCCGGTCTTGGGAAGAACAAGTTAGCAGCTCAATGACGAAGGTGGCAAAACCCATGTATCTGTATCAGCCTCTCTGGGGTAAAGTGCAGAAAGAGGAAAGCTTTTAGGTAGATTTAGGAGGAAAATGAAAACGGAAGAGGGTTTTTCTTTTCCTGCTTCCTATTTAGGATCCAAGAGGGGTGGCTACTTCTGAGCCAAGTCAGAGGCTTGCTGTGGTTAGGGGAAGAGCTAGCCTGAGATAACATCATAAATAAAAATAAAAAGAAATGTAAATTGGCTCTTGTGGGGTCTGGAAAAAGCTAGATTTTTTTTTTAAAAAATTTAAATTTTGTTTTATTGCTTAAAGTATTACAAAGAGTATTACATATGTCTCCTTTTTTTCTCCCCTTGACATTCCCCCGGCCTCCCCTACCCCCCAGTGTCTTGTGTCCATTGGTTATGCTTATATGCATGCATACAAGTCCTTCAGTTGATCTCTTACCACCCCCTCCCCCTCATCCTCTCCTCTCTCTCTCTCTCTGTCTCTCTCTCCCCCTCCCTCCCTCCCTCCCTCCCTCCCTCCCTCCCTCTCTCCTTGCTCCCCTTGACTGGAATCGAACCTGGGACCCTTCAGTCCACAGGCCAACGCTCTATCCATGGAGCCAAACCAATGAGGGCTTTTCTCCTCTCTTCTTTTTCCCTGGAAGAAGGAAAGGAGAAAGACAGAAGGTTTTGAATCAGTACCAAAAGGAGGGAAAAAGAACTCTACTTGGACACAGAGCAGTCCAAGTAAGACCCCAGAGGCTTGAAATAGTGTACAAGTTGGGGAATTATGATGTGTTCCAACCATAAAGTGGAAGAAAGGATGGAAGGAGACGAGGTTGGAGAAAGGGGTTTCAGGCTGTCCTCACATGGAAGTCATTACAAAGCCTCTCTTTCCCACACTCCCTCCTCACTCTCTTTCTCCCTTTCACCAGGTTCATCTCTTTGCTTTAAAATAGCCCCTTAATTGAAAATTGAAAAATAATTCAGGAAGGAAGACTTGCAACATCAATGGTATCTGTGAATGCTCTGGAATTAATCCGTTTTATACATCATTCTTTTTGAGATTGTTTTATCTTCCTTCTAAAGAACTCAGAAACTCAATGGCAACTTGAAACAGAACCCAATTTAGTCCTGTCATTAGACCAAGAGGGTTTTATTCTCCCTGGTCCTCTGTCAGATTTTAAATGGATGTGGTTTTATTCCCCTTCTCATCTAATACTAGAACATATCCATCTACAGCAAGCTCTCACTTTTAAATGATGTTCTTGTATTTCAAGAGACCTTTTAAAGGGGAAAAATAATAGCTCCACTCTAGACAAAGCTCATGGTGGGAAAGTGAGTCTATTTATCCAAAGATTCAACAAATTCTTAACTAAGTGTTGGGCCAAAATTCTTGGTGGTTAGAGGAGGAGGTGGGATTCAGAAGGGGGACATGACTTGCTCAGAGTCATATAGCTAAGTTAGTATGTCACCTGTGTGCTTTCTTTCTTCTCATAGCTATTGGGTACTTTCCCTCGAAGTGAGACCCAGACTCTGGTTGAAACAAGAATTCCTGTCCTATGCTCCTCTGAGATATAGCACCCTAGAGAATTAAAATGTTCAGCTGTTGCCATTGTCTGGTGTAAATCTCTCTATATTCACCTGTTTCCCTTGGGAGAGAGTGACTCACTGGACCATGGCTGAAAACCCCACATAGTCCAAACCTTGGTGATCTGTTGGTTTATTCTCTCAATGGACCTCTTCTGTAGCCGCACACACCCTTTGTCCATTCCTTGTACTGTTTATAGTACCTCCCATCACAGCGTCTGTGCATTTATGTATTTCCCACATTCAATCGTCCTAGCCCACCCTACCAAACACTGTTCACCACCTAGTCCTCTCTCATTCTTTAGGTCTTATTTTAAATGTCTCCAAGGCAACCACCACCAACCACTGACTTCTCAGACTATCAGAAATATAGCTACCTGTACCATTTACTCATCACACTGATCACTTTTGTGATTATTTAATTGAGAGTCTTTCCCACTTCTCCATAAACTTCATGAAAATGGGAATGGAGCTAGTGATTCTCTTCATCGCCATAGAAGTAGTCATGTGTTGACAACTAGTCAATGTGGCCTTCAGGCTCTGGGGTGGAGGAGAAAAAGCAGGTGCTTTCATTATAAAGGACAATGGGACTGGCAGGAATTTGTCCACTCTCCTTTGTGATGGGCCTTTCAAAAGGCTTGTTTAATCCCACAGGGTCCCACAGGACCCCATTAAGCTCCTGGATTTTGTAGCTGGCATCAAAGAAAGCAGGTCTCTAATACCCTCACTTCCTTTACAAGCTAATCTTCAAAATCTTTCTCCTTAGGCCTCCTTATGTTCCAGGACAGCTTCTCACCTCTGAGAGTCTCCTCTGATTTCATTTCTCCTGCATATAACACTGCCTCCAAAGAGTTTTGCCTTTCTCCATCCCCAAACCATGGTTGGAGCTCCATCCTTCTTAGCTGAAGATGTGCCTGTCCATGTTCTGGTTCCCCCCAAATGCAGCTCTATGGATACTCCAGCCTGATCCATAGCCTTTCAGTTTCTCAAGTCATTTGCTCCCTCAACCCCCAGAGTTCTGCCTGTCCTTTTCCACTGCCAGGAGTATTCTTCTTCCTACTCTGCTCATTTGGTTAACTCAGAGTCATACTTAAGACAACAATGCAAATAAGAACCCTTCCCTGACTCTTAGCTTCTGTTAACACCATAAACAGGGCATTTATAAAAAAAATATTTGGAGCACTTTATAAGGTTGTATTTGTGAGATTATTAATGTCTATCTTGGTGGTTAGAGAAGGTGTTCTAGGCTTTAAACTCCAAAAAGGCTGTCCTTTTGTTGTCGTTTTTGTTCATTAGTACAACCTCCATGCCTGGCATGGAGTGTGTGCTTAAAATATTGGTTGAATGAATAAGGGTAGAAATTCCTCAAATTTGATACGTCCACCTTGAGCCTCTGCCCTTTTTTACTCTAAGAAAATGCGTTGAAGAGCATGGACAGTCTCTTATGTAACCTTCTCTAAATGTATCCTACAGTAGGGAGGGCAGATACAAATGCCCTCAGTTACTAACAGTCAGAGATGAACAAGTACTCACTTGCTCTGTTCCTCAGTCTCTACCTTTCCAAATGATTCCTAGAATAACTGCCTCAAAGGGTATGTTTATTTATTCATCCAACCATCCATTTATTCATTTATTCAGTAAATGGCATTTCTCAAGGTGAAGTCCTAGGCCCAACTGCATGGAAACCACCTGGCTACTTATTAATGATGTAGCTTCCTAGCTCCTATGAGAAGATTATAAAACTAAAATCTCTTTACATGCAATTTTCATTTTAACAAGTATTATTAGTGATTCTTATGCACCTTTAAGTTGAGAGCCAATGGGTGTCGTCGGTTGTGATGATTGAACAAGATGCTCTATATAAAGCATTTGGGAGCCATTTTATAGCACAGAGCCTGGCACATGGTAGGTGCCACACACCAGTCCATCTTTCCATTTCTTTAACCATCTGTCTCACTAACCATCTATCTTTCTCCATCTTTTCTAATATACTTTCATTTCTCCATCTGATTCCATCCTATTCTTCTATTTGCTTTTCCCATCTTATCTTAAACTAGAGGCTCGATGCACTAAATTCGTGCAAGGGGCTCGGCCCTTGCAGCCCCGACTTCATCTGGAAGGTCATCCGGAAGGACATCTAGAAGGTCGTTCAGCTGTCTGGTCTAATTAGCATATTACCCTTTTATTATTATAGATATCTTACTCTGCCCAAAACTAACAGGAGGTCCTTCACTGATGTAAGTGATGAGAAAATATAGAAGACAAAGACCTGGTTCTCAGGGAGCTCCTAGCAAAGAGAGGAGATAGGGAACTCCACAGCTGTATACAGATGTGTGGGCACGTCCTGGCCCATGAGCCTTGACCTGTGCGAAGTGCCCCTCCTCTGCTCTTCCCTTCTATCCCAGGAAGCCTAGTTCCAAGCTCTGGTTCTCAAACTTCTCCCTCCTGTGCTTCTTTGTCACGTGGAGATAGACACAGTCACTCATTCACCACATCCCACCTGGGCATTCAGAACTTCCTCCTCAGGGTAATCACAAGATAAGATTAATTATGCTAATCAGCCTCTGCAGGCGGACACAATTAACCAGAGGATGAGATAGCTCCAGAAATCTGTATAGGAGCTGCCTACCTGCTGGGTTTAATTTCACCATCCAGCACAGTAATTAGAGGGGAGAGGTGGGTAGTGCGGTGAGAGGAGTTTGCTCTTTTCAACTAAGGAGCACATTGTTCCATCCTCCAATGGAAGTTGCAGGAAGTTTTCCATGGACTGTCTAAGCCATTTAATTTCCCCTCTTCAGACCTGCCACTGGACATCTTCTTGGGGTTAAGTACCAGCACTGTAGCCATTTTTTTCTTGATGGTGGTACAAAATGAGGTACTTGTATTTTGATACATTTTTAAATGCTTTTCACTCCCCTATCTACTCTTAAGCACTTTTAATATTTTAAATATATATTTTTCTTATTCAAATATAAGAGAAGTTGGCCCTGGCTGGTGTAGCCTAGTTGGTTGGGAATCATCCCATGCACCTAAAGGTTGATGGTTTAATTCCCTGTCAGGGCACATGCCCCTGTTGCAGGTTCAATCCCTGGGGGTGTGCAGGAGGCAGTTGATTGATGTTTTACTCCCACATCAATGTCTCTTTCTCTCTCTCTCTCTCTCTCTCTCTCTCTCTCTCTCTCTCTCTCTTTCTCCCTTTCGTGCTAAAAATCAATAAAATATCGTGGGTTTGTTTTTTTTTAAATAAGAGAAGTTGCAAAAACTTTAGATAAAGTATCTCTAACATGAGAGCATCCCTAACATGAGTTTCAGGAAGTGCTAGTTCTGTAAGTTGCCTTGGGATAAAAGTTTACAGTTCAAGTTTGGGAAGCCTGAATTTCTTTATCTCCTCTTGAAGAGCCATGACCAACATTAGCATATTAAAACTCTTAAATTCCTGTAACAAAGAAACATGCTTAACTACAGTTAAATGAAGATTTTCCAAATTTATTTTATCATATATTTTAGTTTTTCTCTCAAAGGTGACCTAAGATAAGGACTTGAGTACAGTTAGTTTGTTGAGAGACAATTTCAAAAAACAAAAGTGAGGGGATGGGAACAGTGAGGCAAGTTAGGAAAGAAAGACAATCCAGAGGTATTAATGGACTCATTACTGCTATGAACAATCGGGATTTAGTTTTGCTAAGAACTCTCTAAAGATTCATGCAGAATGCACCACAGAGTTGTCACGCTTGAGGATAGAAAAAGTTCGGCATTCATCCACTGACTCACATCCCTTATTGTTTGGGAGTTGCTCTAAGGGACTTTAACCTTTGTGTACTACTGACTTCATCAGTTGATAAGGCTTCTCCAGCTTTGGAAAAGCAGACTGGAGAGATTCCGTGACTCAATATGGCAGCGGTTCTCAACCTGTGGGTCGAGACCCCTTTAGGGGTTGAACGACTCTTTCACAGGAGTCGCCTAAGACCATCGGAAAACACACATATAATTACATATTGTTCTTGTGGATTAATCACTATGCTTTAATTATGTTCAATTTGTAACAATGAAAATACAGCCTGCATATCAGATATTTACATTACGATTCATAACAGAAGCAAAATTACAGTTATGAAGTAGAAACGAAAATAATTTTATGGTTGGGGTCACCACAACATGAGGAACTGTATTAAAGGGTCACGGCATTAGGAAGGTTGAGAACCACTGCTATAGGCTAATGTTTCACAACTTTTTAAAACTTACATTTCTTTTGAAATGTCTAAAATCAAATGCCTTCAGTTAACATTATTTGGAATGTCAAACTCAAAACAAATCAGCAAGGGTGACCTGCGAATATGCTTTTGCAGAGCACACGTACTATTCCTGAGATAATAACTCAGTGACAGCCTCCTGCCATCCTCAGTTAGGCCATGGTGAGAAATGAAAACAGGGGAGGGGCAGCTAAGAGAGCTTCAACGCAGTGGGATTTATCACTTGTTAAGCGGTGTGAGAGTCAAGGGAAGAATCTGATATGACTAATGTGTTCCAGTACCACACCCAGGCAGGGTTCCAGACACTAGTAAATGAGGCCAAAATGTCCTGGTCCCTGACCTCTACAGATTCTCAGTCCTACGGAATTTGCACTGGAACTTCTGAGTATGCTGGGGACATCTAAGTGGACACGGCCCAGTGTGGCCGCCCCAGGCCTGATGCTATAATGACCTTACATGGCGTGATCAGTGGAGGGGTCCCTAGAAAGTGAATGAGAGAATTGCATTTGAGGGTTGGGCTCAGGGAAGAGCACAAGGCCTTGGGCTCTCAGCACCTCACCCCGGAAACCTGCCCACATTCACCCCCCTTCTTTATTCTTTGCTAGGGCATCCTCCAAGCGGTGTTCATTGGCCACGACTGGGGTGGCATGGTGGTGTGGAGCATGGCTCTCTTCTACCCTGAGAGAGTAAGGTAATTAGGCCGTGAGCAATGAGAACTCGGGTAAGACTGGGGCTGAATTCCCATTAGAATCTTTCCTTGAGTCTCAAACTCCAGAAAATGTCTGGAAAACAAATAGGTTATCTGGGAAGGTAGCACCTTAGCTCCTTCGTGCCCATTGACACATTAACAAGGAGGGCTTAATGAACTAATGTCTTAGAAAGTGAGGCCTGTCCCAGTTGCTGGTGGTGGGACAGATAATTCAGGGACAGTACTCAGTGGGCACGCGGGAGAAGGATGGTAGACCCTGAGGGGAGCGGGAAGGCAGCAGGGGTGTTGGGCTTATAGAATTAAGCATCAGGAGAGACGTCAGTCCTGGACAGGGAGTCAGAAAATGTGGCTTCCAGTTTCGCCCTGAATTGGCTGTGTGACAGATCACTTCGTTAGGCCTTGTGTCCTCAACCACAAAGCGGCAACCTGACTACCCAGCCTGCAACGTGCTGCACAGATGTCAGGTTAGAAAGGCATTTCATGATCGTCGTCACATCATTCCTGATTGTCCTTAGGATGGCATTTCAGAGCTGCAGCAGGAGCTTTCAGATGGTGGGTTTCGAACCCAGAGAGGCAGGTAGTTTTTTGCAGCCACACTCCTTTTGAGCTGGCAACCAAAATGAAAACTTGTCTGACCTCCCGTTTCAGTCTGGGATCTTAGCAGGTTCAATAAGCATGATCCTTACCGGCCATCTGGTTTCCCTAACGAATCTAGTTCCTTTTTATTTGGCTAAGTTTATCAGAACGGAAACACAGGAGAACTAGGTTCAGCTCAACCCCAGCTCAAATGGTAGCGTGGGATCAAAGACTAAGAAAAAGCAAACATTTTCTAAAATATTTATAATTTGTTCACACCCTTGCTTTTCTGATCTCTTTAGCTTCTCTCTCTGTCCTCTTCCTCATTCAAAGGCAAAATAAGAGCTCAGTTCTTAACAATTGGATTCACCAAAAAGTTTCTCTACCTACTGGGTTAGATGCCAAGTTCACATTCATACCAGGGCTTCCATGACACCCAGATCCAGAAATGTTTTATCCTCCTGAGCGCCCACGGCATTCTGTGCTGTTCTCACGCTTATCTCACAGTCTATTACATAATAAAGTCATGGGTATATTTGTCTAGTTTTCCTTATTAAGTTATAATAAGCTCCTCGAATACTGATTTTATATTTTTCTCTCCCCTAGTATATAGCATGGAATTACACTCAACACAGGAGAGACATAGTGAGTGAAGGAAGGAAGGAAAAAAATGCTAAAAATTAGGGAGAAATTGTAGTGTTCACATATTCTGGTCAAGGTTGATACACTAGATGTAGTTGTGTGTGTGCTCTGTCTGTCTTCATCTAAGGCAAGTGAGAAATACTGCAGCTTAATGGGGGTGAGGTGGGGTGGGGTGGGGAGGGGAATCCCTGGGCTGGGATTCAAGAAATCTGAGTGCAGAGCCCATTCTCCCACACACTGACAGTGTGAGAGCTTGTGCACATCACTTTCCCACTTTGAGCTTTGGCTTGATGTGTAAGGTCCTTAGACTATCATCTGACAGGGTCTAAGTCTTGGTGCCTCTTCTTTCCATAGGGCAGTGGCAAGTTTGAATACTCCCTTCATGCCAGCAAACCCCAATGTGTCGCTGATGGAGATACTCAAAGCCAATCCTGTTTTTAATTACCAGCTCTATTTCCAAGAACCGGTAAGTCTGGGGCCCTGAGATCAATGACCCCAGCAAGGTATTGTTGTTCTTTCCCCTTTCTCTCCCCTCCCCATTGGCTTGATGTATCTCTGTCCCCTTTAATTTTCTGTGGCTTTAGTCAGAAATTATTGTACAAATGGGCTCAGATGAAACTGACTCCAGAGCTCAGCTGGTCCTTTCCAGGTGATGGCACGTGTGTGTGTGTGTGTGTGTGTGTGTGTGTGTGTGTGTGTGTGTGTGTTTGGGTTGGTGAGGGGGACAGTGGTGGGGCTGACAGCACACCAGGTTCTCCTGCTTTTTCAAAACTGTGGAGTGGGAGCTGAGCACTAGTTTGGAGCTGTTCCTTCTTAGTCCTCTGCCTGAGATTAGAGTAGAACCCACCTCATGTTGGTGACAGCTCCTGCCCTTGGCTTCTTGAGGAGTAAGGTTTGTGATCACAGGGAGCAGCAGAGCCTAAAAGCCCTACACTGGCCCTTTGTGTGCTTTGGGAGATGTGGAGGGGTTGCTAGGTGTCATCCCATGTGCCAGAACACCCAGGATGCCCCTTGGAGCTTGGGTGATATGTGTGATGGGGTGTCACTGCCACATTTCATGGGGATTCACTGAGAGCAGCAACGTGAGCCAGCATCATCTGCCTCCCTAACCCCACAGCTCACCTCAGCTGCGGGGGCACCTGCTAGTCATTCATTTGTGGATTCTGGACCCCAATGTCCAGCTACATCCAGGTAATTCCAGAAAGGATAAAAGAATTTTCTTTAACACTGTAAAGGGAGAAGAGTGGATCAATTCATTGATCAAGAGCACAGAGCGTTTCCCCACATCTCTCACCCAGCTCTTGACCTTCCAATACTTGAAGGTCATACTATTTATAACAAAGGTCACAACCAACCCACTTTTATTGTGTGTGTTTTTATAATATACTAGGGGCCCATTGCACGGATTTGTGCATGGGGGTTGGGGTGCGGGGGCGCCAGCCTGGCCTGTGCCCTCTCGCAATCCGCAATCCGGAACCCCGCAGGGGATGCAGCAATGCGCCAAGCAGCAGGTGGCCAAGGAGGAGCCTGAGCCAGGCCCAGGTCCTGTGCTCATCCAGACTCGCTGTGCCTGGTGCCACCACTTGGTAGCGCTGCTGCCGAGCCAGGAGTGGCTCTCACCAGCCATGAGCCCAGCTTTCTGGCTGAGTGGTGCTCCCGCTGTGGGAACACACTGACCATCACGGGGCAGCTCCTGCGTTGAGCGTCTGCCCCATGGTGGTCAGTGCGTGTCATAGAGACTAGTCAACGGATCGTTCAGTCATAACAGTCACTTACACATATATCTATCTATCTATCTATCTATCTATCTATCTATCTATCTATCTATATTGATTTCTGAGAAGACAGGAGAGATAGAGAGATAGAAATGTCAATGATGAGAGCGAATCATTGATTGACTGCCTCCTGCACACCCCACTCTGGGGATCGAGCCTGTAACCTGGGCATGTGCCCTGATCCAGAATCAAACTGTGACCTCCTGGTACATAGGTTGATGCTCAACCACTGAACCATGCTGGCCAGGCAATAACCATCCAGTTTTGATTCAGTGAGTAACTTTTCTCTAAGAGATGGTGCCTCGAAAGAAGAAGTTTTTATTCGAGCACTAACCTGACCCATTCAGCAAGATGCCAGATGCGTCCAGCAATATCATGAAAAGACGCTCAAATATCGCATCCTCCACTGAAGCCAGGGCCCTCCCGAGCCACAGCCCAGGGTGTGGGAAGAGCCAGCTTCCTTACGTTTGAATGGAGTCAAAATGACCTTAATTAGTTTGAAGTCGTCTTGCTCTTGAAGGATGGGTATGATTAGATGGCATAGTAGTCAGTTAGGGCTGCCATAGCAACGTACTGTGGACTGGGTGGCTTAGACAACAGAATTTATTATCACTCAGTTCTGGAGGCCAGAAGTCCAAGATCATGGTGTCTACAGGGTTGGTTTCTTCTGAAGCCCCCTCCTTGGTTGATGGCCCCCTTCTCCATGTGTCCTCACATGGTATATCCTCTGTGTGGGTGTCTCTGTGTCCACATTCCCTCTTCTTATAAGGACACCTGTCTCAGACCCCATCTCCCAATACCATTCCATTCTGAGTTACTAGGAGTCAGGACTTCATAGGAACTTCGGGGAGACACAGTTCAGCCCATAACAGGTGGGTAAAGGGAAGAAGAGACGGTGTCCCTTGTGAAAGAAATAGGAGGATAACAACAGGAGGGGGACAGTGTGGGGGAAGGGTGGGGCCTGTGAGAAACAGGCATATTTGGAATGCGATCTATGAGTGGGACTGGAAGGAGGTAGGTACGTTGTGCAAAACCTGGAAAGGAGCCCCAGGTTGTAGTCGATGTCAGCGGTAGTGGAGGTTCATCACCCCATCACAGGTGGCCCATGAAAATCCTTTCAGCTGGACTAGAAATCGGAGGCCAGTCTAAGGTGTGATGTTCTGCTTGTCGCCCTTTCCCGGGTGTTCGCTTCCCCTGGTACAGCTCACACCAGGTAAGCATCTGGTGAGGGGGAGGGAAGCAAACGGTGGATCTTGGTTCTTGAGTAGCAGCTCCTTAGCCTCTGGGAATTGAGGAGGGGACAGAGTCCCACACTAAATTAGGAAGCTGGGTTTGGGTCCCTCTCACCTCTTATTTGACCCATTTCTAATCTCTGGCTCTGCTTGGCTCCCACCACAAGAGTCCAACTTTCTCCCCCTGCCCTCTGTGTGCCCAGAGCTCCCCTCCAAGAGCACCCCGCCCCACAGGTCTCTTCACCGCCTCTAATGCCCCATGCACCTTTGTCACTTCTCACCCTTGCACCTTCTCCCCTAGCCCGGCCCCAGGGCCTGTGTATAGGTTACAACAGGCCCTCAACACTCTGGCCCCACCAGTGGGGTTCCCCATGTGGAGAATCCAGAGGGAGGGAGAGGGTGTGGGGTTTCATGTCCACTTTTTTCTCTTCTACCTCTTTTTTTTTTCTCTCTTTTTCATCCTTTGGACTGAATATTTGTAAGGAGACTCCTAGCTGCTGTGAAACAAAGGTGCCCTGTAATGTGTGTGAGGGATTGAGCATTACAAATATGTTCAAAGGTCAGAAATGCCTTAACTGGTATTACTTGTGAAGAATTAATATTCATTATTTCATCTAGCTAATATTTATGCATCTTCTATGTTCCCTCAAAGGGCTTCAGGGTTCCCCAAGGTTTCTTCTGACTACACTTTGAGAAATACTGCTTTATACTGGTAAAAAGCTATATTTGTGTAATTATAGGAGATAGAAAACAGGAAGTAGTAGTTTCACTGTGTATTGTGTTTTGACCAAACTTCATTTAGAGTATTGATCAGTGGGATTTAGCTCATTAAAGTTATCTTTATTATTTTTTAAGTTGTAAAATACACGTAACATCACATTTACCATTTTAACCATTTTAAGTGTACAGTTCAGTGGCATTATGCGCATTCACGTTGTTATGCAACCGTCACCTCCATCCTCTCCAGAACTCTCTTCATCTTGCAGAACTGAAACTCTGTCCCCGTTAAACATTAACTCCCCACTCACTCCTCCCCCCAGACCCTGGCAGCCCCATTCTGCGTCCTGCCTCTGTGAATTTTACTCCTCTAAGTGGACTCATACAATGTTTGTCCTTTTGTATCTGGCTTATTTCACTTAGCATTATGTCCTCAGGGCTCATTCACACTGTAGCACGCGTCAGAATTTCCTTTCTCCTTAAGACAATGATAGCCTACTGTATGTGGCATTTGTTTCTTCATTCATCCATCATGGACAATGGGGTTGCAGCTACAGCTTTTTTGAGTGCCGGATGCAGTTAGTTGTGTTCACAGCAACCCTGTAGCATCTCTCCTGGCCTTTCAGCTGAGCAAGCAGAGACTGACGGGCTTACTAACTGGCTGATACTAAGTACATGACTGGGTCAGGATGTTGACCTGGTCTTGCTTGACTTCAGAGCCCACGTGCCTCCCCTTATGCCATGCTGGGAGGGAGCTTGGACTGATTGTGTTTTGTGTGTCCCAGAAGAGAGGGGAGGAGCAAACCAGGATGAGCTCAAAGTCCTCATTGAAAAAGTGACCTCAGGGGAAAGACACTAAATCATTGCAGTCCTAGCGGGAGAGTGTTTGGTTTCCAAGGTTGATACAGTCATTGTGAAAAAAATCAGTACCTCTATTGTTCTGTTACAGCAGCTGGGTTTAAAATCTGCAGGAAGAGTGTGGGGATGGTTTTGTTCTTAAGAACGAAACTTCTTGTCAGGGAAATGGTGGATATTCAAATCAGTGACCTGGCCACTGCCAGGAGCCCAGGAATCCTGCTGGCGTGGTCAGGGTAAGCACAGAGCGGGGTCTTAAGGAGAAACCATGCACCTGGTTCTGCCTGCATGGCTGCTACCTACTCAGTGATGGAGCAAGTCCCTTCCTATCTCTGGCCCTCGGTTTCCTCATCGGAAAAAGGATGGTGTCATTGGATGGTTTTCAAACAGGTTATAGCTGCAAATGTAAGCTGAATCCAGGCCAATCAGTTAAATACGGCAGGTACAACTCCCTGCTTCAGGGATGGCTGTTGGTAGCCAGCCTTCCTTCCTATCTCTCCTCCCAGTTGGGTTCCCACCGCTCTCCAGCCTGGAGGAATCATCCCTGAGGGCTCAAGGTCATTCCAGACTCTTTCCGCCTAAGGAAGGCTCCACTGTGCTGGTGCACCCAACCCCCCCCCTTCCCCCCCTCTCCAGCCCCCTCCCCCCTCGCTTCAGTTTGCTGAGCACTGCGGGGCGTGGCTTAGACAAACTCTGGGTTTAGATCCAGCCCCACCCCCAGCTCTTTGAACCCTTAGCCCACATGTTTACTATCTTGCCCTGAGAATTTGCCAAGTCTGGTGGAAACTAATACTAGAAGGTGTGTTTTTCTTTGCTTGGCAAAGAAGGGAATAGGCTTTGCATTTGTATTAGTAAGAAAAGGAGGACGGACGAGGAGGCAGCAAAGACAAAAAATGAGCTTAAAAAAAAGTACTGAGTTGTGTAAAATAAAAAATCAATCCCCCTTCACTCATCTAGAACTAGCTACTGTGAATGGTTTGGTGTTTCCCATTTTAAAAAATACGCTTTTAAGTAAGTGTGTGTATGTGTGCGCACATGAGTGTATACATAATTTTTAGTATAAATTGAATCATTCTGCTTTTTTTTATTCAATAGATCTTAGACAGATTTTCCTATCAGTACCTATAGATTTACCTCATTCCTTTTCAGATGGACCATGATTCATTTCACCCGTCCTCAACTGAGGAGCCGTGAGCTACCTTCCTCACAGTCTTTATCATGGTTTTGTTTTGTGCCATTCACAGAAGACACTCGCGGCATTTCATTTTTGTTTTCTTCAATGGGTGGTGTTATGTTATAGTGAAAAGAACCAAGTATGAGGGGCTTAGAGTCTGGAGTTCTCGCTTCCAGCCTGGCCATTTATAATCCGCCTTCGAACAAGGTCACACCTCAACCTGAGGGTCTTCAGTGCCGTGTGACCAGCGAGTGTGGCGTCAGAGTGACTCAGGGCGCCAGGGCCCCTCTGAGGCCTGACTCCTCTCTCTCATCTGCCTGGCCAGGCTGCAGGGAATAATGAATAGTTTTCTCTTCTTGCCCAGGCATCAGGTGCCTCTATTCACTGGCATCCTCAACCCCAGAGACAACCACCCCAGCCCTGTTTTCTGGCGTGCTTTGAGAGAACTCGGCCCCGAGTTTCACAGAAATTCCAGTTATTATCAAGGTAGACGGAACATGAAGCAGAGCTGCTGCCCCGGCCCACTGATTAGAGGGAGGCTCCCATCTCCCGCGGGAGACAGAGTCTGTGATCTTGGCAGCTGAGGCACAAAGGCTGCCCACGCTCATGCTTTGTGGGAGCTCCCTGGATTTTCTGTTGACCCTCTTGGCATCTGTTCGCTCTCGAAGGACCATTTGAGGCCAAAGCCCCGCCCAGACCTCTGGCCTGTGACGATGCCTCCACACACTGACGTACACCCCTGGGCTCCTGAACAGCAGCGGTTTCTGGGATGGGGCTGCTCTCAATAAATAAGAGTGATGACTCCTGGCGACAGGGCTGACCGGGGCTTTCATCGATCACTTCAAATGTACTTCCTCCCGTGGCTGTTTCTTGCCTCGGCATTCATCACACAGCAGATTGATTCTCCATCATAATTGAATCTTACAGATGTAAGGGGATTGTAATTAACGCGACAGCATCACTTTCCTCATAAAATCATAAACTGCAGGCCCAGCACCGCCGGATGACAAATGTGTCCTTTGCTGCGGTGCTGGCGTCCCGTGGACCCAGAGCTCTCATGATCTGCAATATGCAGAACAAACAGTGCAGTGGAGAAGGAACTCTTGCAGTGAGCAGGGACGGAGGGTGCTGGCCACTGCAGTGCCTATTGCCTGGCTTATGGGACCTTCCTCTCTGGGAACATTCCTAGGAGAGGGACATACATACCGTCAGCCTCTACCCAGGACCAGTCACAGATGGTCCCGGGAAGAAGATGAGTGGATGCTTCCCTGCGCTCAGGGGCCTCCGAGGAGACACAGCAAAGGCTCTGTGGGAACCGAGAAGGGCAGAGTTATTTTATGTGATGGGGGAAGACAGGACTTCATGGAGGAGACAGTGTTTGGGACAGATGTTGAAGGCTTCTTGAAGGCCAAACTGAGGGAGGTAGGTGTTCTTGGTGGAGGCTACAATATTTTAAATCAAGGAGGTGGGAAAGCAGGGCACCCGTTTAGAAAACATTCTGCAATCCGGTTTAGTTGTTGCCTGAGTGTGTTTAGGTGAGCATTTGGAAAGGAGGAAATAAAAATAGATTGGCACTTTGCTATAGACTGAATGTTTGTGTCCACTCCCCACCCTCACCCCACCACAAATTCCTATCTTGAAATCCCAATCCTTATGTGATGTTAATAGGAGGTGGACCCTTTGGGAGATGATTGGGTCTCGAGGGCAGAGCCCTCATACAGGGAATTAGTGCCCATATAAAAAGAAACCCCACATAGTCCCCTCCCCGCTTCCTCCACGTGAGCGCACAGTGAGAAGATGCCATCTCTGAACCAGGAAGTGGGCTCTCACCAGACACTGAACCTGCTGGGGCCTTGGTCTTGGACGTCCCAGCCTCCAGACTAAATAAGTATCTGTGTTTGTAAACTACACAATTTGTGGTTCTGTTATAGCAGCTGGAATGGACTAAGACACACTGCCATGCCTCAGTCCCTTCCCATAACACTGGTCCCCCAGCGACTGTGTGGAGGAAGGAGCTCTATTATTTCTGAGCAGTTGCCCCTGGTGGATTCATGCCTCAGAGACAGCTGACTTCCTTTACACTTTGTTTTAGGGAGTGGCTGAGGCTGAACTGGAAGAGGACCTGTATCGGACTTTCAAACTCTTTTTCAGAGCACATGATGAGGTGAGGGGTACAGGGGTTGAAGGGTAGAAGGCGGATAGGTAGCAGGAAGGGGGTGCTGCAGAGGTGCAGAGGTCTCTGGATGGCCTCCCTCGGAAGATGGGGTGGGGACTGGAGCCTGGGAATGAGCAAGCTGGCCTTCTTCCCTTTGATTTCTGTAGTCAGGGTGAGTGGGATCCTCACTCTACTGGTCACACTGATGGGGAAAGGTCACATGCTCACTGCCACACACCAATAAAGCTTTGAAATTAAAATCAAAGAATGATTATAACAGTGACTGTGGAGAAATTATACCATTTTAACCAACATGCATAATTGTTTATCAAAGCCCCAAATTAATTGCTGTTTCAACTCTTTTCATGAACAGCCACAGTTGCTTATAATGGTTTATCTCCATACCCTCCACCCACCCTCATATAGTCAGTGCCTGCTTAGCCTTTCCCATGTTTGCCACTTTCTGTGCTGACCACTTCTAGCATCTCACTCTTTTATATTGAGTTCAATTGCTTCTTTCTGAAGGACTTTCTTTTGTAGTTAGTTCTTTCCAGTCTGTTAGTAGTAAACTCATAATGTTTTTGGCCAGAAAACGTCTTTTTTGCTTTCAATCTTGAATAGTTTGAATATGGAATTCTAGGTTGACAATTTTTTTTTTTTCTTTTAGAGGCTCCTATCATTGTTTATGTGAAACATACCTCCGGTCTACCCTATTATTGGTTTTTTAGTGGTGTTTAATCTGCAGGTTAACCCATCTTCGAAGTTTTGTGTGTTTTTTGTTTTTCTTTCAATGAACATTTTTTGAAATTTATGAAAGTTTTATTTGGCTCCTTTTCAAATCACTCTGATCTATTGTTCTGTTCTTGTTTTTCAGTTTCTTTTATGTTTTTAATAATTTTAAGAATACTCATTTTCATTCTCTCCCTCTCTCTCGCAAGTTCTATTAGTTGATACTAGGGGGCCGGTGCATGAAATTCATGCATGGGGGGTGGGTCCCTCAGCCCAACCTGCACCCTCTCCAATCTGGGAGCCCTCAGGGGATGTCCTACAGACAGCTTAGGCCTGCTCCCCGTGGTTCTCTGCTCTCTGAGGACCCACCTGCTTGATGCCACCTCAGGCCCTGGTGTCTGCTCTCTGTGGGGGCCTGCTTGTCCTTTGCTGCTCTCTGTGGGGGCTTGCTTGCCCTTCTGGCTTACCGCCGCAGGGGCAAGCAGGGCCCTGCTGTCTGCTTGCTCGCTGCAGGGGACATTCCCGCCCTGCCCCAAGCCGCTCAGCGACTGCACACATAGGCCTGGAGTGGCCTGGGGCATTCCAGGACCCCAGTCGCTCCAGCCCTATGCACAGGCCTACAGGCTCAGCGCGGCCTGGGTCCCAAGGACGCCTGTCCCCGGGACTCAGGCTGCTTGGTGCTGGCACTTGTGCAAGCAGCCACCCCTTCCCCCAGCCGCTCAGCACCTGCATATGCAAATTTGTTGGGTTAATTTGCATACTCCTGATTGGCTGGTGGTCTTTGCAAAGTGATGGTCAATTTGCATCTTTCTCTTTTATTAGTGTAGATTCACTATTTGCTATGTTTACTGTCTTTTGCAATGGGATTTGCAAGAGGGGGGTGGGATAGAGAAGAGAGGGAGTTTTGTAATTTTGGTTTGTGAGCTCATCTTGAAGCAGCACTGAATCTGTGCCAGTTGGCTTCAGCTGGGATTGAGGAAATGGCCCTCTTGTGTTTTAGCACTGGCTGCTTCTGTCAGACATCCTTTGTTGTAGTTACTGTTGACTTTGCATCTTGGGTATTTCCAGATCACGGAGAGAGTGTAAATTCAAACCCAAGCACTTGTGAAGGCAGGCTTGTAGCTATGAATTTCTGGGTGAACATTTTTTGGTTTCCTCTTAGTTCCAAACTGAATGGACCAACTCCTTTGACATCTCTCTGTCATGATGGGTGGGACCACAGATTTACTGTGGAGGGTCTTATTTTTAACTTCCCATCTGCCATAAACCTAAGGTCTCATCTTTATTCCCATTGGTTGATAGAAACAAGTTCTCATATCACCAAGACCTGCAAGTGGGGGCAGCTTAGGCCCAGAGTTTGATTGTTAGCTATTTCTGCTGTGACCCCTGAGGACTTGCCTACCTCTTGGGAGTTTAGCATGTTTGTACTAGTCTGATGGCACTCGTAGGTGACCTGTTCCAGCATATTTTCTTTACACATGACATAATCTCCAACTTTTCTTCCTACAGACCAAGCTCAACATGTCCAACGTCTGTGAAAAGGGTAAGAGGTATTCTTAGAAGGGAAGGGAGACAGGAGGGCCATGGCAGGAGCCAGCTGAGCATTAAATGAGCATTTCTCCATCTGACTCTATGAGCAGAAACAGCCACCTGCCAGCTCTGAACTATGACTGGCTTACCATAGGGTTCCCCGCAGGTGACTAACACTCCCCTTAGCCCTGGGCTGACCACAGGGCCTCAGGTTCCTTTCCTTCAGGGACCTTTGGATTCAAGATCTTAAACAGTAAGAGCTTGGGGGACTCTTAGAGCTTGTAGGGGCAATCTCAGCCTCTACTGACAAGGACCGAGACCCAAGATAGGAACTGACATCTGCAGGGTCACCTGGTGCAGGCAGAGGGAGAGTCGGGCTAGACCCCAAGCCAGGTCTCCCCTGTCATAGTCCACTGTCCTCTCCTCCATCCCAGCCCCGAGTCCTGTCATTCCAGTTCCGTCACATTTCCACCCTTGTCCTCCCTCCTGGGTTGGAAACAAGTGAAGAGTCAGAGTGAAGAACAGAATGGAGTTCATCCATGGCTCCGAGATCCAGCACTGTTCCCACAGACCTTACCTTTGCCCCAACACTCTGGCCTTACCATTATTCACTTGTATTTTTATTGATAATGAGGACACTACTACTTGTTTGTGCACCTACTATGTGCAGCAAATGCTGGCCTGGCCCTCTTTAGATACATTATTTATAATCCTCATGACACCCTTAAAAATCCCATTATTATCTGTATTCTACACATGAGGACAATGAAGCTCAGGAACTTGTTCAAGTGGCCAGGCTGGGCTTAAACTCCCCTGACCCTAAAGGCCATAGACCTCTCACTGGTCAAGACCACATCTCCCTTCCCTCTCGCCTCCTCCCTCCATTCCTTTTCTTGGTCACTCGGTCACTCTGCATTCCTTCGCTCTGCAGACGGTTTGAGCTCACACTTGGTGAGGTAAACACAGGCAGCAGAGTCGGGGAGTCCAAGGGGAGGCGGACAGTTGGCAGGAACGCAGGGAGGGGGGCAGGAGACAGCAGAGAGCTAGGAGCTCCGGCCCCGAGACAGCAGAGAGCTAGGAGCTCCGGCCTCCAGGGAGGCTCAAGTGCTTCATCACAGAGGCACCTGCTCACATAGCCCTGCGATGGAGCTCACAGAAGGCTGCATCCATCTCCCAGCTCCTGTGCCTCCAAAGCTCCCAGCTGAGCCTGGGGAGCCCCCCGGAGCTGTCCCCGTGAAATGGTGGTGGTCCCTGGGCTGTCCATCAGCATCACGGGGTTCTTCCCACCCCCAGGACGGGGAACTGCAAGGACACAGTGTACACCCCTGAAAACAAATGAGATTCCACACCGAGGACACTGAGGGAGGGCCCGTGAGTGTGCCGAGGGCAACAGCATGCCTGCGCCCTGGCCGATGGTTTTCCAGGCTCTGAGGACGATCGGAGCAGGCACTGGTGAACATTCCAAGACTCTCCGTGGAGATATCTGAAGAGGGATGGGATTCGTTAAGCTAGGGAGGAAAGGCTTCGTCTAGGGGAGAGGGAGAGCTGGAGGGCTGGCAGGGCCGAAGACAGGTGTCATCCTGGGACGGAGGTGTCGTTTTGGGAGGACAGGAGGGGGGTGGTCAGTCCTCGTGTGTGTCCCAGAAGCGGAGGCCTGGGTGTGACACTCTTGGGTTCTAGAATGAGAGAGGCAACACAGACTTCTCTGACGAAGAGGAAAGGGGCTTCCTGTGGATAAGAGAGGATGAGTGAAGGAGCGCCAAGGGAGGCGGGAGGCAGTTAGGAGGTCAGCCTCCATTGCGAAGGCCGGCACTCGCTGTGGGACCCCTGGCTCAGGGCGTGGGATCGGGAACAAGTGGCTTTTTGCAGGAGGACTCTTTGTGGAATCCCCGAAAGACCCCAGCCTCAGCAGGATTGTGACCGAGGAGGACATCCGCTTCTACGTGCAGCAGTTCAGGAAGTCCGGTTTCAGGTACACGAGTGGTGCCCAGAACACAGGAGAGGCTGGTCAGCACGGGGGCTGCTGTGCTCAGGGTGCAGGACAGCCCCGGTTCCCGCCCCCACGGCCCGTGGAGGCCTGGCTGCCCTGCTTCCCTGCCTGCAGTGGTGGAGGCTCACCGTCGGCTCTGGTTTGGGATGGCTCACCTCCCTCTACGGCACCCTCAGAGCAGATGCTTTTAACCTTTTTTCAGTCATGACCCCCTGAGAATCAAATGACAGTTCTGAGTTCTTTCTTCAGAAAAACACCGACACTCAAAAACTGCATACATTTTTAGGGGGACTGGAGACCTCTCTCTCCTTTTAAACAGCTTTGTTGAGCGCTGGCTCACATACCATATAGAATTCACCCTCTGAAAGCGTCCAGTGCAGTGGTTTTAGCCCATTCACGGAGCCGTGCGGTCATCACCACATCGCCCCAAAGAGAAACGCCATTTCCTTGAGCAGTCAGCTCTCCCCCACTTCCCCTCGATCCCCTAGTCCTAGGCCATCCCTATCTGCCCTCCATCTCCATGGATCTGCCTACTCCGGGCATTTCACATAAATGCAGTACAGTGTGTGCGCCTCTGTGCCTGGCCTCTCGCTCAGCTGGTGCTCTCAGGGGTCTCCACGTGGTAGCAGGTCCGACCTCATTCCCTTGGCTCCGGCCTGCGTTCACGCTGATGGTCTGGGCCTCTGCTCTGGAACCACAGGCATTGCTCCAACGGCCGCTTTCCTGCATAGCCCTTCGAACACTTACACGTTGCAAATCTTTGAAGCTCCTGGTTTCTTCAAGGATGTTGCAGTTCACCACATGTCCATCCTTCTTCTCTCCCTCGTGCCTCTCTCTACACTTCCATCCTTTACTCCAACCGAGGGCTCAGAAAGAGCCAAGCCATGGGCACGGCCTTGGCCAGCCCCGCCCGGAAGTCCTCTATCCTGCAGCCTTGGCTGGGAACGCCTGTGGCCCCCGCCCTTTAGCCCCAGCATTCTGGCACCACCACAACCTACAACTCTTCCCTAAGCTTTTTTTTCTTCTTCTTCTTTTGAGGCTGAGACCATTTAAGAGTCAGATTTGAGGACAGCTTTGCTCTGAAGGGAGATAGAGATAATGCGGCCTCACCCCTCCTTGTTCCGGAGGGAAAATGAAAAGTTCCGAAAGGGTATGTGGCGTGTCCAAGGTATTCCCAGGGCCTAGAGCTGTGAGACCCGAGAGCACCAACCCCGACTAGGCCCGAGGACTGGCAGAGGGTTCTAGGTCCAGCCCCAGAGCCGCCCTGCCTGTCCCCGAGGAGACACCTCTGCACCACCCCCTGAAGTCCCTTCTCCAGGGGTTCCCCAGGGCAGGGGAGTGGCCTCTGGATGGTGATGGCACTAATCAAGCTCCCACCCTCTTACGTGACAGCCCTGGGATGACATGGAGAGTCCTGTGGGGCTGGCTCCGTGTGACAGCCCTCTCCACAGACCCTCTCCGCGAACCCCGCGTGTCCCCAGGCCTGGCACTTAGGCACCGCTGTTTGTGCCGGGCTCGGTCCTCTTTCCCGCAGAAGCTTGGCTCTCCCTGTGAGACCGATGCCTGGTGGGTCTGCAGCACAGTCATGGACTAAACGCTTTCCTGTCTTTATTCCCTGATCTGCCCCCCAGGGGTCCCCTAAACTGGTATCGAAACATAGACAGGAACTGGAAGTGGGGCTGCAAAGGCACAGGACGGAAGGTGAGTGCTGGGTTAGTTTTGCTCCCACCCCCACCCTGGCTTCCCATTGCCCTGGGTCAGAGCTGGGGGTTGACAGACCGACCTGCTGGCTTCCTCCTTTCTGTCCTTTTCCTCTGGGCTTCGGAAGTGCCTCCTCCAGGGTTTCCCTTGGGGCCTCTTTTGCTGATGCTTCTCTTGGAATGGGTGGCGTTAGGGACAGAGCAGGGGTCTGACTGGGTGACTGCAGCTTCGGTCTGGGAGGCCCAGGTCTCCTGGTGGTGCCCCAGCTCAGGGCAGCAGATGGTCCAGGGTGACTCCCAAAGGGTTCACTGATGGAGCACTGGGTGTTCTCAGAGAGGCAGGGCTTCGGCTCAGCCTTATCACGTGACCAAGTCAGTCTGTGGCTCTGTTTCCTCGTTTGTCCAGCAGAAGATGGTTTCCAATCTCTGGGTCTGCGATGAGAGTAATGGGGCCCCCTGTTTCCATTCAAAACATTCAAAACCTAAGGGTGATTGCATTTTCAAGGTCCTCGCTCATTGGGAGCCCTGGTCGTCTTGTTGACTCTCTCTACTGTGAGCACCCTCTATGTGTCAGGCACTGTGCTAGACCGCGGATTTACCAAACGAATAAAACAGACGAGGTCTCGACAACACGGGTTCGTCTGGAGGCAGGACAGCATAGAAGGCAGTGGTTAAGAGTGGGCTGGACAGAAATTCGGCCTGGGATCTGACCCCCATGTGGCCTTGGTCAACACTCTTAACCAGTGTGTTCTTCGTTGCCGCTTCTGTAATCTGGGAATGACAACAATGGTGCTAACATGTAAGGATAACATGGGTTAATGCACATAAAATGCTTAGAACAGTGCCTAGCACATAGCAGTAGTTCAATTAATGCTCCTTATCATCACTGTACTCGGTGACTGACAGAAATTACAAAGCCGCAGTTTGATGGGCAAAATCTCTCCAAGTGTGGATGGACATAATGTCAAAGATTCTGGGAAGGCGAACCCTGATGGTGCTTAAGTTGGGAATTCCCTTCTGCAGCCACCTTTCAGATCTCCCTCCTCTCCCACCTCCTCCGTGCCCCCACCACCAGTTTACATTTTAACTTGGAGCATTCTAGAGCTTGCCCAGCCCACCACGGCCTCCGGACGACTTTCAGCACCAAAAGCATGTTTGCATGTCTCCTGTTCATGCTCTCATTTGGAGGACGGGGTGCGGTGAGAAGCACATGGTTCTGCATGTGGGTAAAAAAAATAGTGCAGATTTCTTAATCAGGGACAAACTGGAGCTGTTTGAACATTATTATGGCAGAGTGAGAACAAAGAGGATAAATGGAGGCTTTCATGGCCTCTCCAGGCCCCATTTATCAGTAGATAAAAGAGAAGTCATTTTGCTGCCTCTAATGTCACGTTGGTAACAGTTGTGTCTGGCCAGTTCACTCTCCAGAGCAGCGGTTCTCAACCTGTGGGTCGCGACCCCTTTGGGGGTCGAATGACCCTTTCACAGGGGTCGCCTATGACCATCGGAAAACACATATATAATTACGTGTTGTTTTTGTGGTTAATCACTATGCTTTAATTATGTTCAGTTTGTAACAATGAAATTGGGGTCACCACAACATGAGGAACTGTATTAAAGGGCCGCGGCATTAGGAAGGTTGAGAACCGCTGCTCTAGAGTCTTGGCTGCCCTTTTGAAGCATCCATTTAACTCAAAGAAAAGGAATATCGATCTCCATGCAAGTGCATTTCTTCCTTTCTTGTCCCATCCCACAGAGTGGGCCAGCCCACGCATTCTTACACACGCACGCACGCACACATGCACGCACGCGCGCACACACACATGCACACACACACGCGCCCGTGTTGGTCACTGCACTGCTATGTTCATCTGTATTAGAAAACTCAGTCTTCTCCTGAATCTTTACATTCACACAAAACATTTCACTTCTGGTCATGAAATGTGTGAGGGTTTGTCCCCCAGCAGGCAATTCTCTGCAGTATCAGCTGGTGTCCTACACTTTAACTACTAAATTCTAGCACTACCTACCTGAGGTAGCGTCACATCCCACAGGTTAAGGGTTCAGGCCTCCAAGACTGCACCCCCTACACACACACACACATACTTCAGACACCCATCGTAAGTCCAGTTGTCACCTGTGCTTCTGACCAGCCAGCTATAGACCTGAGGCTCCCACCACCCCTCCTCGGTTCGACCACTGTTTGCTAGAGTGGCTCACAGAACTCGGGGAGCCTCTTACTGACCCTATGAGCTTAGTAAAGGAGGAGAGACAGGACACAGGTGCGCAGCCACCTGGAGAAATACGAGGGCGAGGTCTGGGAGGGTGTGAGCACTGGAGCCTCTGTGCCCGGGGAGCTGAGTGCCACCCTCCCGGGTACATGGGTGAGTTCCCCAGTGTGGACACGCTCCAAACTCCATGCTACTGAGATTTTTCTTTTTTAAATATATTTTATTGATTTTGTACAGAGAGGAAGGGAGAGAGATAGAGAGTTAGAAACATCGATGAGAGAGAAACATCGATCAGCTGCCTCCTGCACATCTCCCACTGGGGATGTGTCCGCAACCCAGGTACATGACCTTGACCGGAATCGAACCTGGGACCTTTCAGTCCGCAGGCCAACGCTCTATCCACTGAGCCAAACCGGTTTCGGCACTACTGAGATTTTTATGGAGCTTCCTCGTGTGGGCATGATCAATTGTTCACCCCATTCCAGTCCCTCTCCCCTCTCTAGAAGGGAGGGAGGGAGGGAGGGAGGGAGAGACAGAGAGACAGAGAGAGAGAGAGACGGGGAGGAAGGGGGGCTGAAAACAGAACTTCTAATAATGGCTGGGTTTCTGCTGACCAGCCCCCATCCAGGAAACACCCAGAGTTGCCTCTTTAGAACAAAAGATGCTCCTCGAAGTCTTAGCACTTGGGAATTTATAAGGGTTTTAGGAGCCCCGTGCCAGGGACGGGGTCAGAGACAAGTACTAGATGCTCCTAGTGCTCCCATTACTTAGAAATGTCCAGAGAAGCCCGGCCAGCGTGGCTCCATGATTGAGAATTGACCTATGACCCAGGAGGTCACGGTTCGATTCCAGGTCAGGGCACAGGCCCGGGTTGTGGGCTCAATTCCCAGTGTGGGGTGTGCAGGAGACAGCCGATCCATGATTCTCTCTCACCATTGATGTTTCTTTATGCCTCTCCCTCTCCCTCTCTGAAATCAATAAAAAAAAAAAAAAGTCCAGGCGTTTCAGGAGCTCTGTGCCGGAACCCGCAGGCAGAGACCAGTATATATATTTTCTACCGTCTCACATCCCTCTCCTAGATCTCCAGTAGGAGTGATGCCTCCTTCAGGCCAAGCGCGCCAGACAGAGCCAGGGCCTCGGCGGCTGCTGGGCCCCTCAGCGAGTGTTAATAGTGGGGAAGCCGCGGAGCATGAAAACGAAGCAGAGGAGGGGAGACCTAACCTGGAAGGTGCAAGAAGGGGACATCTTTTCCTTTTCTGGCTGTCACCACCTCCTGCCATCTCTCCCCAGATCCTGATTCCAGCCCTGATGGTAACTGCGGAGAAGGACCGAGTGCTTGTTCCTGAGATGTCCAAGCATATGGAGGACTGGGTGAGGACGGTGCTGCCTGGGCCCTCGGTGCTTCCTGGAGGGAGAGGGCAGGTGTCCCCAAGGAAAGAGGCAGCTGAGGGGAGTGATGGGATTGGAAGCTCCCTCTGTTAACAGTGTAGAGGTTGGTAGTGACTGGGGAGGCCTGAAGTGGGGTGGCCATGGGCTGGCTAGCTGCTGAGAGCGGCCCGTCCCCAGTTGCTGTGGCTTTGTCAGCAGCATCAGGCACAGCGGGGAGGGTGCGCGTGGGATGCGGCCGCGGTGTGGGCTATGGATCCGGCCAAGGTGCTGCGGAAAGCTGTGAGCCCACGGGCTCGGCTCCCTGCTCCTAGCCCTCAAAGGTTTCTGTAGAAATTCAAGATCTTCAGCTGGTCCTTTGCAGCCCCCTGTAACGGACTCTAACCTCGCTGGGGTGCATTATGCTTCTGAGAGGAAAAGGGCATTTTCCCCAGCCTTTCCCACACGCGGTCAGGGTTCAAGGCTGTGTCGGGAAGAAACCCGTGTCCCAGCTGCTGCCTGCTGCCCCCTCTTCATCCCGGGTGCTGGCTGCAGTGACCCACTGTGGGAGCCCAGGTTCCAGAGGGGAAGCCAAACAGCCCTGCGTGCAGATCTCCAGCGAGACAGCCGGGAAGTGGGTGCAGTCGCGTCTGCATGGCAAGAGCCAACGACAAGCAAGCATCTTGCAGGCAGTGAAAGGGCTGAGAACGAATGGTTCTGAAGGGAGACAGTTGTGATGAGTACAAGTCAGCCCTGGATTTGAAAATCAGCTCAGCCACGCTGTGTGGCCTTGGGCAGGTTCCCTGACCTCTCTGAGCTTTCCCATTACCGCACAGGATTGTGGGTATGCTTCAATAAGACAATGTATGTAGAGCACCCAGGACGTCGTAGTTGCTCAATAAGTGGGGTTATTCCTTTCCTAAACACGCAGTTTTTCAGGGCAGGGGCTGGCCTATGGGGAGCAGAGGGGAAGGTGCCTCCTCACAGGGGCCCCCTTACACGTTGCACTAACCTGAAACCAGACCCACGGGCACTCTGCCATTTACTTTTCTGGCTGGTGTTTTCTTCCAGATCCCCCACCTGAAAAGGGGACACATTAAGGATTGTGGACACTGGACACAGATAGAGAAGTAAGGAGTTGGGGGCCCCAGGGCGGGGGACATCGGGACTTCCTGTTCACCTTCAGTAAAGGCCTTCCTGGGCTAGCTGTTCACCTCGTGTGAGGTGGGCGGGTCCAGACAGGTACGAATCGTCTTTCATTCCCTTCCCAGGCCCGCCGAGTTGAATCAGATCCTCGTGCAGTGGCTGGAAACTGATGCCAGGGACCCGCCAGTGGTCTCGAAGCTTTAGGGGGTGACGTGTGCCAGCCCCTTCCTCTGCTGGGCTGCTGCTCTTGGCACCAAGATGGGCCTGACCCGCGTCTCTCAGAACCAGCAGCCTGGTTCTTAAGGGTGATTTTCTTTAAGGGAAGTGAGTAAAATTAGACGTAATTTTAGATACAGGAAAAGGCTATTAATTCTCTGGGCACAAACGCATCACTTGGTCTCTGAGGATGATTTGTGTCCTGTGAGGGGACAAAGGAGGTGGCCAGGCGGTGATTTCTCTTTCCCTAATCCATAGTTTTGCAGCAAAATCAGCAGGTAATTCTGAAGCCTTTCCACAGAGATTGGAACTCTTTTGCTCAATAAAGCTAAACAACTGTGATTCCGCTGCGGTTGGGAGGAGGAGGAGTTGTTCTAAGAATGTCCCTCTGGCCTCATCTGGAAGCCACGTCGCCCGCCCACCCTGCTTCAAGCCCCGTCTCCCGCCCAGTCCTGCCACGGCAGCCTCCTGACTGGTCTCCATACAGGATCGGAACTGAACGTTGCAGGGCCTCCCCGCTGCTCCCCATAGAAAGCTCATGCACTGCCTGGCCCCACCGATCACTCCCCTATTCCTAAGGGCCCCCCAGCACCCCCGAACTGAGTCCCTGCACACACCACACTGACGCTCCTCGACCTCCACCTGAGTGAATGGGTCCTTCAGCCTGCAGTGTTCCCACCTGCATCTCCCCGCCGAGGCCCCAGCCGGGCCATGAGCCCTTTCTCCCTGCCCCCAGCATGGTGTGCTCCCAGGGGCTGCACACCGCCCTGGCTGCGCTTTCTGCAGGGAAAGCTGGCATGGTGGTCTCCCTAAGCCGAATTATGAATCATGATGAGTATCAAGTAACCAGGCCAAAAGGGTGTGTGTGTCCGTGTGTGTAGAAAGCAAGGGGAAGGTCAGGAGTGGTCTGAACTGTCGTTAAGTACCGTGTGCCTGGAGCCTTGCATACACCACCTCTGTGCTTCCATCTCACAGAGAGGGAAATTAAGGTTCGAATAACTTGCCCAGGGTCCCTTGGCTAGTTAGAGGCAGAGCCTAGATTCAGACGCACGCTGTCTGGTTCCAAAGGCTGAGCTCCTTCTGTCAAAAATCTCCTTTCTAGCCCTGGCTGGTGTCGTCAGTGGTTAGAGCGTGGGCCCATGAACTGAAGGGTCATGGGTTCAATTCCCACTCAAGGGCACGTACCTGGGTTGCAGTTTGGCTCCGACCCCGAGTGCAGGAGGCAACCAATCTATGTGTCTCTCTCACATTGATGGCATGCTCTTCCTCTCCCTCCTTCCCTTCCACTCTCTCTCTCAAAAAAAAAAAAAAAAAAAAAGTCAATGGAAAAAATAGCCTTGGGTGAGGATTAACAACAACAAAATCTCCTTTCTAAGTCTAGAGTCAGATTATCTAGATCAGGCTCCTGTTCTGCCTCTTACCACTGTGTGACCTCGAGAAAGGTTTCCTGTATGTCAATCCCTCACCTATAAAAGGGGACACTGATTGTACCAAGCTCACAGGTGGTTGTGAGTATTAAATGAGTTCCTATATGCAGGGCCCTGGAATGGTGCCTGGCCCCGAGGAGGTGCTACAGAAGTATGAGCACCAAGATCTCTAGTTTATGTTAGGACAAGGCCTGTGAGGGCTTGACATTTCCAGCTACTACACCACCACCTCGTTCCTTTTGTATTGGAGAATGAAAGTGCTCATTTAAAAGGCAAATACGTGACCTGGGGAATGACTACACAAGCCAGGTAACATTATTTTACTGACATTATTTAAAAGAATGTGTCCAGACTTATTTGTAAGGGAGCAGTTGGAAGAGAGGAGAGTGGAATCTCAGAACATCCTTCATTACAAGAAGCACCAATAAGCAAACTTGTTGGTCCCGATTACCTCAGTTCCAAATATTCGACCCAGCAATCCCCATAAACCATCAAAAATGCCCCAGAAATGCTACTCTTTGGGCAGATAAGGGTCAAGTGAGTCAAGTCCATAGCACTGCAACAAAAACATCACCAGTCATACAACATTGAGGCCATAAAGGCTGCTGGACTGGAGAAAGTCTGTAGGTTATTCAAGAAAACACTAGGAATGTCAGAGTTGTGTTTCCCCTGCTGTGGGGCCTCCGGACACATGCCACCGCTGCAATTGTGCGGCAAAGGGGACAGGGACGATTTTCAGATGCCATTTTAAGTACAGCTTGCTGAGAGTGCGATCCAATTGACGTAGTTATAAAGTGCTACTTTTATGTCATGACTACAAAAGGCATAAATAACAAATGTATTCACCTCTGCTAAGGGAAATGGCGTTTTTGGGAAGAGGCATGGCAGACCCACATTCTCTCTTATACCCACACACCAGTGGGGTCACGGAGCTCCCCAAGGGAGCCCAGATCTCCTACAGGTTCCCCCACACATAGTGGCTGCCAATTAGCAGTGCCCAAGGTTTCCAGGAGAAATGTCTTCTAAAAGTGAGTCTGGAGGGATTGGATCAGCCATAAGAAATTGCACTGATAACCAAGATGGCGGCATAGGTAAACACCGGTGAATGCTGCCTTGCACAACCACTTCAAAAATACAACTAAAAGACGGAACGGACATCACCCAGAACCACAGGAAAGCTGGCTGAGGGGAAATTCTTCAACTAGAAGGAAAGAGAACAGCACACTGAGACTCAGAGGAGGCTCAGTGCGGAAAATACAAAGGTGCGGAGGTGCGCACGGAGCGGGCTGGTGGCTGAGGGCGCGGTTGTCGTTTCCAATCGGGAGGGAGGCTCAGGCTCTGAGCTCCAGTTCTGGGTGAGTTGCTAGGGACCCAGACTCAAACAGGAGAAGCGGGACTGTCTGGCATCGGTCAGAATGCGAGGGCAGCTTTCTCTCCAAGGTTTGCAGCGGTTGCTGGGACTCTGAGAGGCAGAGCCTCTGGGGACGGGAATGAGAGCAGCCATAACTGCTCCCTCCGCAGCCCTGTTGATCCCGTGCGACCCACCCCGCCCAAGCCCTGCACAGAGCCATTTGCCGGATAGCCTCAGGCAAAGGCTAGATTAGCACCTCCCCAGAGGGGAGAAGTTTTCCCACTGCAAACACAGCTGACTCTCACAGCCAGTTGGCCTGGAGGTCAAATCCCCCCAAGTATTAACTACAACAATCAAGGCTTAACTACAACAAGACTGCGCACAAAGACCACTAGGGGGTGCACCAAGAAAGCATAAAAAAATGCAGAGACAAAGAAACAGGACAAAATTGTCAATGGAAGATATAGAGTTCAGAACCACACTTTTAAGGTCTCTCAAGAACTGTCTAGAAGCCGCCGATAAACTTAATGAGATCTACAAGAAATCTAATGAGACCCTTGATGTTATGATAACCAACTAGAAATTAAGCATACACTGACTGAAATAAATAATACTATACAGACTCCCAACAGCAGACCAGAGGAGTGCAAGAATCAAGTCAAAGATTTGAAATGCGAAGAAGCAAAAAACACCCAACTGGAAAAGCAAAATGAAAAAAGAATCTGTAAATACGAAGATAGTGTAAGGAGCCTCTGGGACAGCTTCAAGCGTACCAACATCAGAATTATAGGGGTGCCAGAAGATGAGAGAGAGCAAGATATTGAAAACCTATTTGAAGAAATAATGACAGAAAACTTCCCCTACCT